TATTGTGAAAGGTGGGTAGATGTAGAACTTGTGATTCCATCTACTTGCCTTGGGCCTCCACTCGCAGCAACCTCCTCGTGGTGAGGCCTGGGCAATCGGTATTGTCATCGGTAAAGTACTATAAACTGAAGACAATATCGAGCTAATGGCTGCGAACTTCTAATCTATTTCATAAAACCACGTTCTATATTACATCGAACTAGGATTATTTTAGAAATCGATATGAAATTCAAAGTGTAAAAATGTCTAGTACTTTAAATGTTTTAGAAAATTATTAGAGATAAAGATGTATGGAACTACTGAAAATTACTTTAAATTCCTTTTTCTTATTCTGTAAATTCATTGATTGGAATATGAATTCTCTCATACTCGTCCTTTCTCTAGTTACTAATACCTTGTATGTAACAGTTGCTTGTTGATTCTCTACACAGACTTGGGGTACGAGCAGTGGGTCTGTACACTAAGACTGTTTGCCAATCCCTCTGGTTTGTATTGAGAAGCCAGATATCGTACGTGTTTGGTCTTTGCCTGGTAACTAGGATTTGGAGAAAGATTCGTGCGTGCAAGGGTACGAAGTAGATGGGAAGCTGCTCCTGAGCACCTCGGTAAAAAATGCATGGCAACTGATGGCAACTAGCGTTCAACACGTGATATCCATAAACAAGAATTGAACTCGAGTTGCCATTGAAACTTCCAATTCACTCGGTAGACTTCTGGTGGCGAATGTAGGAGGTAGTGCCGCCACACAGCCTTAAATACTACTTATATATACAATTTTACAGTATATTTGTAATGATATTTGTGTGAGTTCATGATGTAGAAACCACCACAGCAGAATGGTAGTTCCGAAGATTCAAACTCGATAAAAAGTTTATGAAATTAGAATATTTAATCCAACTGGAACGAATAAAACTTGAATTATATAAACATACCATATAAATAAACCATTGGCTATTCGATTACCTCGTGCAACTTTAATTATCTTATTGCGTCGCCTTTCTTTAGACGATGTCGTTGTAAATTATCGCACGAAATCTGACGGCAGTAAGTCGACATAGTTCGATTAGAATGTTCTCTGCAACTCAAATAATATTAACCTGTTAATAAGAAAAGGATGGACAACTGTTTAATGAACAGCATCTGGTTGATCGAGTTTAATCGAATACAGCGAAGATCCCTCGGGAAAAGAAGTAGAATTCGATTTAATGGTACAATATAGTTATATGTAATCGGGGGAAGGGCCAAATCCCCTTGCATTCAGACAATACAAGACATCGATTGGAAAGTAATCGATCAAACGCATCGTAATTCGCACACAATGCTGCATGATACTGTAAAATTTCAAGGTATGATCGATCGTTTATGCAGTGTGAAAGAAAGTTAACGAGACTAGTGAACGCGCGGCGTGTTACTTTAGCTCTAGATAAATTGGAAACGCAACGAACAAATCGCGGAGCTATTGCTTAGAGTACGTTTATGTTGGAGCTGCGATAACAGCAAAGAAAAAGAAATATTTGTTTCTCGTCGCGTTTATCGTTCATTATACATACAGTAAGCGTTGCTCTTATCACCGCTCTGATCCTTCTTCGCAGCTCCAACATAATTGTACCCTTAGACAGAGTTGGGTAGAATTTTATTCGAATAATACACAATGAAAAGTGTCGTCTTGAGCTTTAAACAGTTAATGAGATTAAATAATTGTTCGACAAATGTCGATTCATTTATAAAGAGTATTATTTTATTATAAAAATTGAATTTCCACGTTTAAACAATTAAAAACGACAGAATATTTTTTTTATCTATTATTCGAAACTTTTTATCTAGACAATGAGTTTGCCCATCTCTTACCTTAGATAGGTATTTTTGACGATGGGGTTAGCGATGTTGCTTATCGCAGTTGCAGTTTGCAAGACGAAAACTGATAGCATTGGCTTAATGCATTACAGTGGGTTTCCGTAGGCACACGGATCGAAATGTTTCGACAATTCGACAAACTGACAAAACCGACTGCCAAATAGAGAGACAGACAGACAGACTGACTTACGCACTCATTCACTCACGTTTCCATCTCTGTTCCGGTCCGACGAGTTGGCTCGACAGCTGTCAGCCTTTAAAATCACGCCTAAAAAAATTGTTTAATATACGACTGCGGTTCCGTAACACTTTGGCATGGCACTTGTTCAGGAACCACAGCGAATCGCTATGACGATTGGGGTGATTTTTAAATGGGGACATAATTTTAGGGTGCGAACATTCCCATCGACAATCTGCGAACGTATACTGCATTCATTTAGATCGAATGTCTTTTTGAACGGTCACCCTCGCATGACCATGTTTTTGTATGTGCCCGCGGTTTTTTTTGGCGCGGAATCCAGAAGCTGTTTCTCGATGGGAACGTCGGAAATAATCGATATCCGAATCCTAAGAGTGTTCTGTTAAATATTCAACTAAATTTATACTTATTACAAATTTACGGGAGTCACCTAATTCGAATTCGTGTCCTCTGGTCAGTTAACCGGGAGAACTAATGCTTTTATCCGCTCGTACGACTCCGCTGATCGATTAATTGAAAAGGGCACGGATCGTCAGACCACAGATGGTGCGTGAAACACAGTGACTGGTCGAAACCACGGAAATCGAAGAAAAGTCCGCGGCGTCCCATTAACATGGCCTATGGTCGAACAAGAATAATTCCAACGAAACGAAAAATGTAATCGTTGTTAGAGTATCGACGTTCAACGTGCGAGCGAAAGCACCAATTTTCACTTTTTACATTTCACCAAAAACCATTAACCCCTTACCTTACAACATCGAGTCAGATACGTGATAACGATTTTAAACTGATTTTATTCATTATTCTTCATTGTTCCTCATTTTTCCTTCACTTTATACGATGTAACTAGCATTCATGTTTTTATGAAATCAATATAAAATATACAGGTATGTGACGCATGGAAAGAACTGTTGTTAGATTCTCCACCAATCAGACACGATTATGAACAATCACGAATCACTGTGATACAGAGATGGGAAAATTCGTTATCGAGATAAAAAATTTCGAATAACGAATAAAAGATAAAAAGTGTACTTCGCCATTTTTAATAGCATAACCGTGAAAATTTCAATTTTTACAATAAAACAATATTCTTCTCCAATGAGTAGACACTTGGCAAACAATTATTTCATTTAATTAACTGTTCAAAGGTCAAGATGATACACTGCTGGTTTTCACGAATAAAATTGTGCCCAACTCTGCTGTGACAAATCACCGCAATTGAGAACGAACGTATGACGAATCACTCGTGACTTACAAGTAGCAGTTTACGCCATCTCTGGCGAACGTCGTGCGTTTCTTTGGAATCCAATATCGTCCAATTGCGAATAAATCGAAGTTGCGTATCTTACGAAGAATCGTACGATCCAAGAGAGATTTACGAGTGCAAACAAGGGGGGTCTTTCACGGAACACAGTGTCCCGTATTATCGCGGCAAGCTGAGCATTATCGTAACAAGATCGGTGATAAATTGATATTTCGCTGATCGCACCGGTCACCAAATCGTTTGATGTTCCTGTAACGCGATCGCCGATAAATTCATATTTCCTACTGTCCCGTGGACAAGCAACAAATCGTAAAGCAAACTCGAGGGAGGGGTGGCAGCTTCGACTGTTGTTAGGCTATGAGGAACGTGGACACGGCGGAATCGTGCTCGGACATTGCCTCGGACCTGGACCCGCCTCGGTGCCCCGTGCATATGCGCCAACCATCGAAATCAAGTGCCCCGAACAATATCTGCCAATTATCGGACGATTGTGCCGCGGTGCCAACTGTCGGCGTTGGTCAAACAGTCGATCGGGGGAGGGAGTGACCATCATCGGTTGAATCGATGCCCAGTGCTTAGGTATCACCCTCTGTGTTCGAACGTGACTTTTGTTTTCGCAAGAAAGATCTCGAGTGACGATGTCCTTCTATGCTCTTTCTCTTATGCAGTCAAACCAACACTCCTAGCTCGCGATCACGTAATGTTATGCGTAGATATACTCCTGTTTACTTTGAACCGAGGGACGGTTCCCGCGGAATACGCAAAACCAGGGGCGGCCGGCCACAGACCATTCATTATATGTAAAATAATAAGAATAACACTTGACATTTTTCGTTATGATTCCTACAATTTTAAACAAGCAGAATTCAATCAAATTAATTTTACATGTAATCTTTGGAACACTACTCGTATAGAAGAATGAGCTCTCTTTGTATACAGCCCAAAAAAGTATGACATTTAGCCATGTTTGTTGGATTGAACACGTGTAGGTTATTCATGGTCGATATAGTCAACTATAACATCATTATTGCAAACACTATACGTTAGCTTTGTAGTTATATGTAGAATAGAATATTCATCTTGAACAAATCTATTTCTTCTTTAAGGATCTGTGTTTTACTTTATGAAAATAAAAATTAGATAATTTTCCTTTTGCATGATAACTGTTAAAAAACTATGTATATATATATATTAAAACTACTTAAACATACTTTTATATAGATGTAAAAGTAAACACAGCAGTAATTAAATAATATTAAATTATTAAGGGACGGCCCTGCATATATGTATGTATATGTATGCACGGATCACAAGAGCTTCTCACCCTGCTGGTCGTTGTTTGTCCAGAAGATGGACCGACCACCGGACAGATCCACTCGACCCGTTGATACGTCGATCGCCGTGAAATAATTATGAATAAACATTCACCGACTGGGTGAACAGTTTCGTTTCGCAATACACTCAAAAAATTGTATATTGTTCTTGGTTCGATGAAACGGGCATTCCACGCGAAATTGGACACTTTTTGAAGTAATATGTAGGACTCTGTTGACACTTGGATATAGTAATATATAAACGGAACTCGAAGGATTTTAAAAAATTTAGAAAATTGTTGATTCTACAGCTGTTTGAAATACAGTGTCGACCTTTCTTCAAGGGAGCATAACTGTTGAACTGACAAACCGATCGGAATGAGCTTTGAGGTGCTTGTAGTCGAGACATATTAGTGCTTAATAAAATTATTTCGAATAAAAGAAAACAGTTTTTAACCATTTATTCTGTAGTTGGTTCAAAGAAATTCAATCAACATTCTAGCCGAGGATGTTACGAGAACATTATTAAATAAGGTATCACACAAAAACGGCTGTAATTCGGACACAATATGACGTTTATATGAACTTTTTTTCTTAGTTTACTGTACTGAATCCATCCCTTGAAGTTTGGCCACATGTTTTGAAGCACCCTGTATAGCAGAGCGATGAGATTCGTGGCACGCGACATTCACGCGCGAATGTCACGTGCACGTGGACAGTTCGAAGATACGACGCGAAACGAGTCCACTTGCAAGGGCGGGCTACGGTCATTTTTTCGAAGGCGTTTTTCAATTGGTTCTAAAAATAACAGTCTCGTTCTCGAAGAGAGAAAGAGAAGGACACTGAATCGTTCGGGAAGCTGGCCATAGGGCAGATGCAAAGTTGGATTTTTCTTCTGTTGCAGGATCGAACGTAGTTTGTCTGGGGGATTTGCGTGGAGGATACCTGTGGGAACGCGTGGCCCCCTCGGCAGAGAGATGGGGCTCCCAAGGAATCGAGTGAATCGAAGAAGGGCACAGGACAACAGGGTATACTGGGTGCGACATTTAAGGTGGATAACGCAAAACTTAATTATCACAAATTTACGTAAAAATTTACCAAAACATTCTTAAAAGCTTCAACTTTCGATTGATACCAAAAAATGTCATGGTCAACGATAAAATTATTGAGAAAGAAAGGTTATAAAAATCTATTTTTAACACGAGCCTTATGGAACTATAATTAGTACTGAGAAGTCAATCACTTCTTATTTAGTTAGGAAATATGACATTTTTATACATTTTTATACATATTTTATATTTCTTACGAAATACTTTATTTTTAGGATATTTCAACTTAAATGCCGCACCTTGTATGCGCGGGAGAAGAGCGTGCTCGTGAGATTCGAAGAATTGTCAAAACCTTACGGCTCGATCGTCGGCGATTCGCGAACGGGGAACAAAAGGAGGATCTGGAAAACAGAGGAAACGGTGCTTTTCTGGCGTTAATCGACGGTCAATCGATGGTTCAGCGGCTAGTGGTGGGCAGCACGGCGAGAAGTTAACGATACACGATTAGTCAGCTTGGTTCCCAGGCGCACGCAGACGGTAATCGTGCGAGCGCGTGCTACGTACGATTCCTGTGTGAACTTCATCGTGGTCGCACCCTCCCCCTCTTTGGACAACGGGCTACCCTCCGTGACCGTGCGCCGTCGTTCGAGTCGTGGCAACGCACGACGGGGGGAAACAGGGGGGTGGCAGCGAAGTGATTTCATGGTGGCGCGTATCAATTCACAGGGATCGAGGGAAAACGTGGCGCGGCACAGTTTGGATTTCTGTTTGCCGTCGGGCCTACTTCAAAAAAACTGTATACCAAAAAAATCCCATCCCCGGGGCAAGAGTAAACGATAAAATTATTGAAAAAGAATCGTATTATAAAATATCTTATGGGAGTTTGTGGCCCACCTAAACTCTAATACCGACATACCTTGAGAAGCGTGTAATTTTAGCGACCTCTTCATTATGAGAACAGTGAATCTGCGGTGGGTAGTGACACTAAAATGGAAATGTGGCGACGTCGTCCCAGAAAAGTCGGCCATCAAAAATTCATTCGATGAAATGTCTATTCCTATATCTGCTTTCTGCCCATAGCTAAGACACAGTTTCGATTTCAAAGGGTTAATCGTTCGTAGCCGTGATCTTCACCGCGATCAAAAGTTCCACAGGAAGCCCCCAAACATATAAAGAATCAACACTTTTGAAATTTGATCTTGCTTCAGCAGTCGAATCACGCTGGTACCAACCTTATCGCCGGATATGTACGTCTTATCAAGCGACAGGGTCTCGTTTCGCGTCGATCGATCCTAGAACACGGTCGACTTTCGCAGAAACAGTGCTCCTTATCCCGTGTGTCCCGATCGAGAAGAACGCGCGGGAGGCGAGGCGCTAAGCGCCACAAACGTTCCCACGATAATCGGCCCCTTTTGATCGCCGCTGCGCTCCCCCTTCTCTCTCAGCCCCTGTCATCCAGCCCAGTTCCTCTTTGGGGCGAAGTATGGGGTTCCGTAGATGTTTGCTTGCCACCTTGAATCGGGGAACCAGACAGAGAGAGAGAGAGAAAAAAAAATGTTAGACCGTCGTCTCCCCCCACCAGCTAACACGTCGGTGCGCACCTAGCAGTCCCCACCACTCGGGCCTCCTCGGTTGGCCCACGAAACGGGGCACCGCCGGTCGTGTGTCGTCCCCGGCTCCTCCCGCACACACGACATACGTCGGCCGCCACGCGACCAGTGCACACGCACGCGAGTGCATCTCGCAGGAGCCCAGTAGCCGCGTGCCACCGACGACATTGGGACGCGAATCCTCGTGCTGCCTTCTTATTCTTCGCGCGCGGCAGCACGCGACCGCGAACGTCCTCGCCGACACGTGGAACCCAACGACCTGATAATAACCGTTTACCGGGTGTAACAAGTGCCAGCGCGAGATTACGGTCCCGTCGAAGCTCACGATCGACATAGAAATTAGATCTAGAGACACTAGATTCTCGTGCATCGAACCTAACATCTTGGATGGCTTTTCTTTCGTCTTAAGACTCTCGTGTCTGAACAGGAATTACTCGAAATTTATTTCAAACCGAGTGATATCGTGACGTGCTTGTGAATTATCCCGTTTGTTTTCTATTATGAAATCGATTCCGAACTGATCGAGTGAGAAGAAGCGAATCCGTCGAACCGACACTGTGAACATCCGCGTGTACTCTTTCACGGAAACAAATTCGAACGTGTTCCGAGCGAAATGTGGAGAGTGGTGGTTGCACGGTCGGACGATAACAGCACTTTGCTGTCGTCGGAGATCGCCTCCGGGCCTGTCGGTACAGGGCATCTTCCGAGCTTGCCGGGACCACCGTCTGGTCATCATTGGGGTTATCCACCCCCGCCCCATCCTTCGTATCAGCCGCAGCATCCCGACATGCGTCATCATCACGACATGCGACCGCCACCTCACGACCTTCGTCACGCGACTGGGCCGGATCTCAGGGCCCAGGAGTTGAGGCACGACAATCCGCACAGATCGGATCTCAGGCACACGGAGATGCAAAGGCATCAGGAGTTGCACAGGGTCGAGATGTCGAGACACCAGGATATCAGGCATCAGGAGATGACGGGCATGAGACCGGACATGTCCGCGGAAATGAGGACCGGACACGAGTTTTCTGATCTTAAGATCGATGTCGCTGATATGAGGAATCAAGAACCTGGTCAACAACAGCAACAACAACAACAGCAACAGTCGCAGCAAGGACAATCTCATCAACAGAGAAATTTAAAGAGAGCTATGAGCGATTCGGACTGCGACGACGTGTTCTCGGAAGAGAGCGGCAAAGAACCGTAAGTAACATCGAAAAACAAAGATGTTTGTAACGATCGATCCGCATGACGTTTCCAACTCGAACTGATATTTCGTATCGATACATATCGGTGGTCGAAATATCGGTATGGTTAATATATCAGAAGCGAAGTATCGATATCTTCAGTATCGATTATCGATACTTTTAACTCATTGTCTGTAATCTGCACCAAAAAAGGCTACAATAAATCGTTATGAAATGGTGTCGACAGTGTGGCGTCAATTATTTGACATTATCGTTACCTGGGGTAGAACAGTCTCAACTTGAGAAAATGTAGTACACTCAAAATTCTTTTTCACACGGAAGATACGTTCCTCAAAAAAACCGTGCAAACAAAATACGTTCTTAAGAAATAAGTTATTAAAAATCCGTGTAAGATGAAATGAAGAACTATATTTCATCGAAGAAACCATGTAAAAAGGTGACGAAAATTTATACGTAAATAAAATTCAAACCCATTTCAATTATATTCTAACTAAAATAAAAAATGAAACATTTTCAATAAAAAAAATACCAAAAATGATATGTTATTATTCGTCGTTACTTAATAATAATCGCATATGTTACAATGAAGAGTTTTGTCTGGTTATAACCTTTTGAAATTCAAACGCGTAGTCCAACGTTACCGTGGAAGCTCAGCCGGCAGACTCGCGGTCTAATGGGTCGGAGTTTTTCGTTAATATCTCGTTAACAAATCCTCGGAGAATATTTTCGCTAAAGAAAAAGTTGCTTCAAATCACCCATTTCAAGGGCATACACCTATTTTGGGACACCCTGTATATCTACCCTGTATATCCGTACACAAACACCTTTACTAACGTATGTCGGCCCCGTTCACAATCGCGCAACAATTAAAATCTGATTGTTCTCGAATTCGAAAGGCACCGAACCCTTTCGCTGCAGAAAATCGATTGACTCGGATTGTAAACATTTCGCTGCGACACTCGGAGAATCGCTAAGAGTCGCGCAAGGGCGGGGGGGGGAGCCTCGAGGTAACACGTCGTACGAATATTTGAAATGTAACCGTCTGTGAGTCACCCCAAGTCTCATTGTTTCAATCTTTTTTTTTTTTTCTTCTCTCTCGATACAGTTGTAATTCACCCGGAGGCGATTCCTGTCAGCACGCGTCGCGAAAACGTCGGAGAGGAATGATCGAGAAGAAACGTCGCGACAGAATAAACGCGTCCCTCGGCGAGCTACGAAGATTGGTACCCGCAGCGGCGAGGGACCCACACAGCGGCAAATTGGAGAAGGCGGAAATTCTGCAGTTGACCGTCGAGCATCTGCGAACGCTTCGGAACAAAGGTGAGGATTTGTCGCCGAATGAAAAAGTTCGATCGGAAGTAAGCTCGTGGCGTCTTCGTATCGTGACCTTAAAACTAGAACTACCGACGATAAACGCATGTTCGTTTCGATCGATGGATAAACGTGAAAAACTTTTGAAAATTTAGAAATTTAGAAATTGAGTAATTATAAAAATAATTCATAAAGGCAGGCGCAAATTGTAGAAATTTATTTTTTACTATAAGCAGAAATTTTAAATATCAATTCACAAATTAGTTTCGTAGCCTGACGTTCAAGGTACATACTACTTTAAGATGTGTACTAACTACTGTGTGTTAACGCTGTTTTGTCATAACCTTATATTACCAAGTCTACCATCTATACTATCGTCCTTCGGTCGGACCTGCTTCGTAACCGGAAGACACCTGTTGACCGTGCCGCGTCGCGAGGGAAATGCCCATCTAACTGTAACACGTCAACCGAATACCGAACCATCTGTCGGTCATATACATTTATCCGTTAAACGTTTCATTCGTTTCACGATTTCGCCCCCTAATGTTCATCTACCCTTTATCGGAAATTCCAATGTCGCGGGACATTCGAAAATTATTTTGTTGTAAAAAATTAAATTGTTTACTTGTATTTATTTGGATCGATTCATCCCTAATCGTGATGGCCGGAACGAAACCGTGAACTAGTAGCACCGGTAGCCGTGATAGATACATCCCCGGCGGAGCAGGTGCTGGGGAGGGAAAACGGTGGAGATCCTGTGGGAAGCATAGGAAGTCAACGACTCTTCCGAGCCGACGTTCCCACGATTGGTGGCGGGCTAGGTAGCGCGGGGTGTCCCGTGGCTAGCGGCACCCTTCGCGAAGGAGGCGTCCCGGCCCCGACTCCCTTGCCTACAGGGCTGGGACAGATGTCGAACCCTGTGGGAAACCGACTCGCGATCGTTCCATGTACATATACGATGCCACACAAACGCGCTGGCAACGCACACTCACTGGATTTATATCTTGGATCTAGAAATATTATGACGAGTAGACTGGGGATTTTAATGCAAAATCAAATTTTAGAAGGTTGTTTATGAAGACAAAAAGAAAAGTAGGAATTTCTTTTAGACAAAAGAAAGTAGAAAACTCGATCTGTAGAAAGTTTTGTCCTGTATTGCACTTCACACAGAGACATATAGGCTATAAATGTATAAATTCCGCAGTCTAATTTTGACGGGAATCTGTGAAATATTTTTTATGCGAAAGTATTTATTGATTTTTGGAACTTTAGCTTATGAAAATTGAAAACATTAAATTGTTATAGAAGAACAATCGCTGCGCATAGCCAACGCTGATTGGTCGAGGTTTTTCGTTAATATCTCGTTAACGAGCCTCGGATAATATTTTTGCTAAACTGTAGACCGCCCCGTACACTCGAGACAAACGTTGCTGGCTATTTGACCGCGAAGAATCGAAAATCGTCTGCACGGTGGCTCGGTACGGTGGCGATGGGGATCTGGGACGGCGGTTCCCACGCTACCTGTTCCATTTCTCGGTCGCACGTATACATATACAATGTGCACCAGGAAATCAGCTTAAATTATTCTACAGCCAGCTGTTCGATTGAACATTTTTTTCGCTGGTGTAATACTTGAAGAAAAGCCGTTGTACCAAATGTTTTCTCACCCCTTTGAAACTTCCATTTCCTTATGATTAAATGTCATTTAACTTCATTTAAAATAAATTTCAATTTTCGACAATTTATGTGTTTTGTTACGCTGTACTACAAAAAATCCTCCCACCCCCCTCGAGGGTTTGATACCTCTGGGCGACAAAAAATCTTAATTCAGGCCTACACATAAACTCATTCCATATTTGTCTCGTAACATTTCAGGACCGGAGGGATACGACAGCACGAAATTGGCTATGGACTATCATGCGGTCGGTTGGGGGGAGTGCGCGGCCGAGGTGGGCCGTTACTTGGTCACCATGGAGGGCCTCGACGAGAGAGATCCACTCAGGCTTCGACTCCTCTCCCACCTGCAGAGCTTTCATCGCGAACACGCGGCTGGACCAGGGCCAGCGGTGCCCTCCACGGTCCCAGCGGCTACTTCCCTCACGTCGAGCACGTCGACGAGTAGCTACGAACCGGCCAGCAACGTTTCCACCGGAATGCCACCTGGCACAGGGGGCAGCATGCCGCCATTGCTGGGCGGAACTGCCCTCGGATGGAGCCAGTATCCGGGACAGTATCCCCAGCAGCAACACGGCAAACCGTACCGACCGTGGGGCGCCGAACTGGCCTATTGAGAAGGACGCAGGACTTGAAAACTGTTATGATATCGATTTAGACTCTCGAAACAGTTATGAAAAACTTTTATTCTGAATAACTGTTATGAAAAACCTAAATCTCTGACTATATCAGGTTCGGTTAAGGTTATCAGTTCCAATATCAGTTCTATAACTTTTATTATTTACGGTCTGTATCAGCTCTAATATATGGGAGCTGATATAAGAACCTTAACTGAAACTGATACAGTCTGAATTTTTGGCTCTTCATAACTGTTTCCGTGGGAACCTTTATATAACAGTTTGAAACAGTTATTTCGAAATCGTTGCAAGCCCTGGGAGGACGGGCGACGCGATCGACCGGTTTCAATTGTTTGTGAGTTTACGGAATCCTCTCGAAAGTTCGATCGTTCGATCGAAATATGCTCATCCCCCAAATATTTCGTCTATGTGTGATACAATAATAGTCATTGTGCGAGTGTACCTAATAGCTGAACGCGAAAGATATTTATTTATTTCTGTACAGACTCTTCTCGATTATTGTCCGACTTGTTCTACACGATTATTGTCCACAAGTTATCCACCACTGGGTAGGTGGGGACCCGTCAAGCGTATACTTTGTTGCGGAGGCTCGGGGCTTCGGGCGAAAAATGAATTTATGTTTCTCCCTATAAGATTACTATCCCAGCGTGGACATGGGTTCGGGATACTAATCGAGAGGAGTCTGTAGTTTAACTCGGCGACAAGCTCTGCGAACGAGCTTTTGTATATATAGGTGTATGTACATATGTATATTCTATTGTAAATAAAAAAATAATCGCGGTTGGTTCGTCCGTGCTCATTAATTGTATACCTCTGCGTGTGCAGTTGGTATGCAAACGGTCAACCAGTTGTTTCGAAAGATAACAAGCAAAAAAAAAAGTATAAAAAGACGCGATGCGACTGATTGTGAAAGTGCCATTACAGGTAGACATACGCGGTAGAAGATGTTGAAATATTTTTGCAACGAAGCTCTCGCACCGAAGAGACAACGACACGTAACAGCGATGGCGAACGGTGTCTGTTGTTTATAATAAATATGAATTTCATGCGATTCACGTTGTACAGCCGATACTTTCTTTCTTTTATTCCCGTTTCCCGTACCATAATGTTCACTCGAATATCCCAGCGTGTATTCTTATGCAAAAATTCCAGCTCCGAACAAAAAAAGGAGACGAACAAGCGGACAATTGGGGGGAGGGAGCTCTTATTAGCGATCTGGGACATGAACCAGTTTACCGGACTCGTTAAATCGCCCATAAAGAGCGCCTCCGCAAAATGGGAAATTTCCGGGTGCATACCGGTAACGATCGTCTGGGCCAATTAGCAGCCAAAGGTTTTTTCACGCGTTTCTCGTTTATATATTCGAAAAGCACAGAAGGGGGGAAGCGAGACTAATTCACGGAAAGAAGAAACGATGCGCGAACACGTGACCATTGTTCGTGCCCGAATTAGCAGTTGCTCTTTGGGCTTGGTTTCCGTTCCAACAAACCCTTTCGGTAATTACGGCATACCGCGTGGACCGTGTTGGACCATTATATTGGGTCGTTCGAAAAATAATTTCGTTTTTTTTTTCAGTTAGATGTTGTTCATCGTGTTATTAGCAAGACAATTGTATTCTAATCTATAAAATCATTATATATTTTGACAACTGACATTTCAAGCGTCAGTTTTAAAAAACTTGGGTAATAACAAAAACGACGTGACAGATTTAAGAATACTTTTTGGTAACAGTTTACAATTCGGTCGGTATCTCCGATTTCCTTCGAACTTTAATATGTTGAAAGGGCCTCCTTAAAAGGGAAAAATATTATTTTCAAAAATCGTCGACACGAGCCGCAGCTCTTCGTCTGCATGCAGAGGACACGGAAACACAAAGATTGTCGATAAAGCTATTTTATTCACGACACTCCCATCCATTAGAAAGTCACAGCCTGGTCGAACGTACGTACTAATGTACGCACGCGCGCGGTCACGTTCATATACACACACGTTCCGTGTACATATTCACGAATTATATACATAGATATCGTACAAACTATACAAATGCCGAACAACGTTTCAGGCCGACGGAATGGAACTCGGAGAAAGTATTAAACGTTTTCTTTCGTCTCGTGAACAGCAGTTATGCGTGTTTCGGCAGAGAATTCAAAGAAATCACGGCACGGACACACCGAGTGTACACCCACGAGCAAATTCGACTTCCTCTAGGGGAAAAAGTGGCGTAGGGAAAACATTTTATTTCAGTACTTGAAATTAATTTACCAAAAGGTAGAAGGCCCTTCTTCGACGTCACTTTTTCCCCTGGCGGAAGCAGAGTTTTCTCGCAAGGGTACATATAGAATCCTACGATTGCTCGATCGATACGCACACGCATACATACAGATAAAGATACATGTACACACAAACACGTACCTAAGAGTACAGTTTGTACTGTGCGCGGCGTACAAACGCGATTACTCTTACACCCTAAAAAACACATTGCTTTACCACGAGAAATACAACGAATCTATAAAGAAATACAGTTTCGTATTCGTACCCTCGCAATTCTTGAATACGAATAATTAATATGCTTGAACAATATACATTGTGAAACATTTATCAATAAGGATATATTGTGCAATAACTAAGCTTTCGATGAGTGCGACGTATTTACTCGGGCCCCACATATATTTGTTCTTTAACCGAAGCTGAGCCTCTGCTTAAGCTTTTGTTTGCCCTGTTTTGATTGATTCCAGGGGGGGAGTAACGTCGTTGCTCATGTCGCACTCATCGAGGAAACACTGTATACGTAAAAGCAAATCATCGAGAATGTAAACTGATAAAAATATTCTAATTCGTACGAATTTAAGGAATTTACAAATATTTACAAATATTTCCATTCCACAAGGATAGAACTAGTACGAGTACGAATACTTTTGTGAGCTTCATTTATATTACTATGCATTTATATACTATATTACTATGAATTGTTACTTCTCAATAAACCGACGCATCGTTCGAAAGCTTAGTTATTACACTACACATTCCTATTAATAAACATTCCAAAATTATTAGTCATTCGAATTCAAGAACTGCGAGGGTACGAATACTTCTATGACTCACTGTATATATTTGGTAGGGTCAAGTAGTTGGATTTCGATATTCGTCTAAATGAAGTCGAAATAAATACTTGTAAATTGTCTAGTCGTTTTTCGGAAGACTGCGTGTGGGTGCCGTGCACGCGCGCGCATTCCCGTTATTTGAGCGTTTCGAGCGACACGCAGTAAACGTGTTAAAAGTGAATAACACGAACCGACGACGTGGTCCAATAATCTTGTCTTCAAAACGCTGCTCGAAAAATAATGGGATATACAAATACTCTTTGGAACGGATTACAGAGGGGATCCTCGGGGAGCATCAGTCTCTGATCGATATCTCATCACCGAAGATATCGTCGATCCTCGACCCCGTCCGTTCGTCGACGTTTTATCGAAAATCGAACGAACGCGCTAGAATCATAGACTTATAAAGATAGACAGCGTGTCGAACGTGAAGAACTGTCCTTAAAATTAGTCGGATCACTTTCTCTCTCTCACATCTATAGAACCATCAATGCAACGTCGGATCAAAGGGGGTCTAGGGGGGGTTGTAGGCCCCACATTCCAGGTGAGCCATTCTGAAACTTCCATTTCATTACGATTAAATGTTATTTAATTTTATTTAAAATAAATTTCAATTGTCAAAAATTTATGTATTTTCTTGTGCTGTATTACAAAAAATCCCCTCTCGCTTGTCAACTAAGAGGGCCCTCGAAAATCTGATAGCTCTGGGCCACAGAAAGTCTTAATATGCTAACCCCACCATACGAATGATTAGAAAGAGAAAAAGATCCGATCACTATTGCACTCTCTCTCTCTCTAATATTGAGGACAGCTCTTCACATTGGACGAACAGTCTATCTTTATATGTTTATGGCTAGAATGTCAACGAAATTTCCTTCCCCCGTTCGTTTCGTTTGTCGAGACACCACATGGACAAACGGAACGCATCCTCGTCAACGAAGAGGAAGTTGCGCGACGGCGAATCCACGTGAACGGTTTGCCACTGTCCGATCACATTTCGTTCTCGATGTTCTCGTTCCTCTGATTTTCCTCGCATTCGTCGCAGTAGCAACACGTCGAGACGCAGTCCTCCTCCGAGCTCTCGGCCACGTACGTTGTGTACGTGTCGATGCTTTTCGCATCGAGGGACGGCAACGACCACGACAAAGAGGTCGTCTCGAAGTCCGGCATGGCCGACTGCCAAGTGGTCAAGTATCGCGACTTCTTTGCCGCCCGGCTCCTCGTCGACAGCTTCTTGATAGCCTGTGGAATCGAAACAACCAGTCCCGGATTATGATTTCTTGTGGCCCAGAGCTATTAAAGGCCTTCGAGGGTCCCATTGGTTGAAAAGTGGGGGAGGGGGGCCTTAAATTTTTGTAATGCAATATACAATAAAATATATACATCATCAAAAATTGAAATTTATTGTAAGTAAAATTAAATATCATTTAATCCTAACGAACGCTTGATTATAACCAGACGGCGGATTTTTAGGGATTCTATTAGGATAAAAATGAAATCAAAAATTTTTGCATGCTATAAATACATAAAATCCGCAGTCTAATTATAACGAACAACGTTTTCTTATAATTCAACAACTTTTATCCGATTCGTTTCTATGTTTAGTACAATTTTTAATTATTTCAAAAGGGAACCGGTAAACAACATTTTATTCGATTATTTTTTGACATAAGACTTAGATCGGGCCCCCCTCCTCAATCCGGCGCTGGAAACACCGGGAGAGCATTAGGTGCGCGAGGACCGAGCGTGACGCGATCCCGTTTGAATCGCGCGCGAAACACACATTCCGAAACGATCGTTCCGACGTGAAACTACCAGCCGCGAGTCGAACCGCAGCGAATCGATGTTAAACGAGGTCGCACCGATCGAAATTATCCGGTCATGAATATTTGATCGAATTTCAACAGCTCGCCGCGACGCGTTCTTTTTTTTTCGGTCTCTACGTGTGAACTGTGTACCGTGCTTCGAATTGTAAGTCTCGATTCTAGTCACTACGCGAAGATGGACGCGAAACAATAGTCGTGACAATTATAAGAAATAAGAGAAAGGAAGATCAAGTCTATTTGAATAGATGGAAAGGAACAACGGTGGTCAGCAGCTGGTTGAGGATACGTTCTATGCGCGGAACTATGGAATTGGGTCGACGTATGCGCCAGAAACAATGCGACGTAGGTGGTCACCGTCTTACCCTGAGGAGTCTGCGTCCAGACTTGCTCAGCAATTTCCGAAACATATCCACGACGACAATTACGGTACTTTCTTCGTGCTTGACGCTCTGTGTCTATCTTGTTGGTGGTTCCCAAGAGAAGTGTACGCGTCGCGAGATTGATTTTCGTGCGGCGCGAATTCTCACTCGGCAAAGGTTGGATCGATGCACACAGGCCGGCGTCACGCGACCAAATACCGCTCGGGAGCACCGCGTTGTCCTATTTATCACCTCGGCTGGCCCGGTCTTATCGTAGCACGCCGTGCGCCCGATCCACCCCATCCTCCCTTTCTCTATTACCCACTCCTACCCCCTGACTCTGATCGTACTCGTACTACCACTGTTTCGTTTCACTTTGCCCCCCTCCCCCGGCCCCTCGACATCCACGAACACGTCGTTCCAAATTCCCACAATTCTGAATTGAGGACCTTGCTGCAAGAGGGGTGCAGCTCCTTTTTGGACAGCTTAAAAAAGATACATACTTAAAACTCGACCTGCACCCTTTTTGCTGCATGGTCCTCAATTTTTCCCTTTCCTAAATCGTCTATGCTCGCGTAACAGATACTTCAACCCGTAAAAAAGAAACAAAATGAAAGAATGTCACCGAATTGTGACAGGTTATGTCCATCGTTTCTGCGATTCGTCGATTCGCAGTGTTCAGGATCAGTCGAATCGATTTATTCTTTCGTAATCCCAAGTCGAATCTCGGATCGATTCGTTGAAAATTCAAAGGCGAAAATCGAAGCATGTTCATTGAAAAATCGGAGCGTGTTGGTCGCGTGCCCGTGTCTTGAACGCGCAGACGCGTACGCAACGCAGCGATGCACGTGCACGTCGTAGCGCGTGTGACCGGAGCTGTTCTCACGCGGCCGACGACACGCGACTCACACGCGACCCGGCTTGCGTCTATCTCGACGGGTGCGTGTCGCCACGTGCCGGTTCTATGCGCCCACGAGAACCTCATAATTGTCATAACATTCGAGCTGACCCCACCCCACCGTTCCCCATCCCAGCATATCCATCGTTCGTCTCCACGTCCACTCGCGCCAACAAGCACCGATGGTACAGGCTGTTCGCGTTTGAAACGATACACATAATCGCTTTCCGAACCTACCCCCTTTCACCATCAAGAATTCTCATAGATTATACGCGCGTTAGACCAATCGAGAGTGTGACGTCACAGGGATCGAACTTGTTGCGATGACGTCAACGAAGGAACCGTTCTCAAACTTGTTGGATATCTTTGTATACATCTCACGTATTATACCCGTGACTACGTGACCTCCGGCTGTGACGTCTTCGTTAGGTTTACGGCGATGCTGAAATTGTCCTGTCAATTTTAACAAAGCTGTCGGTCGAACTAATGATGCACTCGATCCGATACAAAAACCTTCGAAATTTATTCGGCGTCCATGGTGTGATCACCGGGAGTGCTTACCACGGCGTTTTCGCGGCAATGGGAACGAAACCTAATCATTTTTAGGGGAAACAATCGGCGACGGCCGCGTCAATGGAATAACGAGCGACGCGTGCCGTGTCACGTGTCCGCAAATGCTCGTTCAAACATTACGGGGAAGACTGTGCGCGCGCGGAAATAAGGCTCGCCTAATTGCGACTACCGTTCCATTAGAGATTAAACTTGAAACGAGAACCCGGTGAAATTCGTTTGGTTAATCGATGCGGTTCACCGACTCCTGCTCCGTTCTTTGTCCTTTAATGTACGTATAGATACATATATATATTATAGACGCGTGACTAACCTAACAAACGATGCTCGGGGATGCAACGATCGAGCCTTCTGTAATGCTGATTCACACTAGTGGTTGTAGTACGGTCAAATCACGTGAAGTTAGGCACCAGTTCGGTCAAGTCAAATCAAGATCTGTTGACCGTGAGGTCGATTTGATAAGGAGCAAGATCGTGGCGCTCTTCACAGGATTTGCCTTGATCGTCTCATTAACGTCTGATTAAGGTAATGAGGTAGACGCCTAATTTTTATCTTTTAATTCATCTTCCCCGAGATACGACGACTCGCCGCGATTTACCACTCGACGAACGAACTCGAACAACCGAAATTTGTTTCGAAGTTGCTGTTGTTCGATCGAAGGTTATTCCCAGCCACCGTCGCTGGCCGCCCGCCCTCGTTTATCCGACCTGCCTAGGCGTCGAAAAAGGGAATCGATATCAATCGAAGCGTGGGAAACACTTCGTACGAAAACTCGCACGCGCAGGATTTATTCGTCCGATCGAAACAACAGCAAACCGAACAAATGGTCACGATCGACTCAAATATATATAAATTATGATGATTGCTCTCATTAAGAAGATAATGTTCTGTTGTGCCAATTATAAAAAGTCAATTTATATTATTTTGATTCTTTATAATTATTATAAGAATAACAATATTGCTTAATCTATTTGTGGTACAACTTTACCCCAGCGTTGTTACTATTTATCCCAAGCTGGGACAAAAAGTAACAATCTGACCTGGTCGATTTTCACGACCATAATATTTTTAACAATTAATCGAAAAACATTACATCGCTACAGAACTAACCTTGAATCTACAACCTATCCGTACAAATTACCATTAAATCTCTAGCTAAAATATAGACTTTTTTATTTCATCAAACCCAAAAACCGTTACTTTCTACCCCGATTTCCACTACTAAACTATGCTAGATATATAAGAACCCATCTACTATTTACTTCAATAGATTGTAAAAAGGCTTCATACCCATAATACATGAAATAAAATTAAAAACATTTTTAAACTTTATTCCTATTTCAATCGACATATTTACACTTTCCTCGCGTACAAAATAACAAAAATACGTCCGATAAACAAGTAGAAAATAAATACCCGCAATATGATTTGCTTCGAAATCGTACATAACAGAAAAATAGATGGTTTACCATTTTTCATTATTTTTTTTTCCGAAAATTCGCTCGCACGGTTTCTCGATCACGAGTTAAGAATAGGTTCGTCCACCTTATCCGGCTCGTAAGGAATATTTCTCTCGTTGCCCGGCAACAGGATCGGTACCATTTTGAACTGAAGCTCGTACGGTAGGTACTCGTGACAGAAATTATAAAAATCCCGTCGCGTGCGTATGATGCCGAGCCGCGCCATCTCTTGCATCAACGCGTGCAGTTCCGCCTTGTAATACAGATACGCTTTACTTTTCATGATCACGGTGGTCACGTTCGACAACTGACGGACAAATTTCTCAGAGACCAATCGGGTCTTCTCGTTGTATTTCGGCTCCATGGATTTCCACAGATAACGGTAAAGACGGTCCGTGACCCAGTGCTTCGGTCGGGGCAGTCGGGGCACTTTGTACCTCGTCCCATTTACCAAGAAAGCTTTGTGCACCTCTGCTTTCGTCGCGGAGCTTTGCTTCGGCGCCGATTTTCCACCCCTACCGAACATGTTCGTCTTCCCTCCACGCGACGGTAACTTCTTTTCATGATCGTTACTTTTCTCTTTCTCCGTCCTGTCCGTTTCCTGTTTCTTTATCCGATCCAGCTTCATTCGAATTTCATCCATTTTCTGTTTGTCCCCGAGTACCTGACTGGCCGGCACGGTACCGGCTCTCCTGAAGAAATCCTTGATGGTACGTTGATTCTGCGAAATGGGCAACCTCGTCGAGGCTATTGGACTTTTTTCAGTCGCGGCCAAAGTACTCAGGGGCACGTTGTTGTTCCGCGGTGACAACAATCCCGACCGTTTCGAATCACGTTTTCTTGTCTTTTTTCCAGTCTCAACGTTTGCTGTACTGCCATTTCCTTTGGCGCCACCGTCGACACTCGAATCGATCGTAAACCGTTTTTCTCCGCCGTAATGCCTTGTCTCCGCCCTCTTCGGTGTTTCCCCGAACTCGATCTCAATGTTCGACCGGTCGGTTACTTCTTTTTCCAGTCGTTTTGATCTAGATTCCCCGAGGCTTGATTTCGCCGTCGGTGTTTTCGCGGTATCATCGATTCGATCTGTTTTAGGGTCGTCTGATATCCGCCTCTGCGACTTCCGACCTGAAATATTTGGTGAAGTCTCTACTCGCTGCGTCCCGTGGTCGATCGTCAGGCGGACAAGCGAGACTTTCAAAAGTTTATCGAGTTTCTTGCTCGCTCCTCCAACTGAGTGGTCATCGACACCAATAGAGGGCGACTTAAGATCGTTCGTCTTCGACGAGCTCGATGGGAGGTGATTCGATTTACTCGGAGATTTCTGCACGGCACGTGGGGAAATCGATTGTCTTTCGAGTAGTGCATTGCGATCCTTGGCACGCAATGTTGTTGCGATCGTTTCGTAACCTTTCGAACCAAGTTCGATGGACTGCTTTTGGGATCCACGCGAATCCCTGTTCTCTTCTTGCGTTCCCGTTTCAGCCTGTCCTTTGGTTATGGAGTCGTTCGCGTCGCGTGACTTTTTGCTCGCATCTTTCGCGGTATCGACAGTTTCGGACCTTCTTGGAGTTTCAATTCGCCGCCTCCGAGTACGTTTCGTTTCTTCCGAATCCTCCTCGCCTGAGAATAAAACTCTTCGTTTCTTTAGCTCCTTCGAACGAACAGGAACGTCTTCCGTGTCAGTACTCTGTCTCCAATTGACGAACGATTGCTGCACGACCCTCTTCGTTGATCCCTTGCTGCTTCGTCCTCTTGTACTATCCTCAGCTTCGCTCTGCATCTCCTCTTCATTCCTGTCGAAATCCAAATGCTTTCTAGACTCACTCAAATGCTTCTGGGGTACTTTCAAAGGAGTTTCAACAACATTTTCCGTTTCTGCAGGTTCTTCCTCGTTTGCAGCTGTCGATATCTTCCCTTGCCCTGGATCCTTTAAAGGAACAGGAACATCTTCAGTATCGCTACTCTCGCTCCGAATGACAATCGAACGTTGCTGAACCATCTTCTTTGATCCCCTGCTGCTTCGTCCTCTTGTAGTATCCTCAGCTTCGTTCGAAATCTCTTCTTCCTCGATACCGGGAGCCGAATGTTTTTCGAACCGACTCGAATTTTTCGCGGGTTCTTTTAAAGGTGGTAGAACTTCGTCTTCCGTTTCAGACTCGCTGTAGGCGAGTGGCTTCGATCGTCTTTCAGATATATCGATCATTGTGCTTCGTTTCTGAGTGGTATTCTTCGCCGGCTTTTGCAATCTAGTCGAACTTCGGGTTTGCCTTTTCGACGGTATTTGACCGTAGTCCGTCCCGGAGACGTTAGTGATATGTAAATTCTGTATTTCTCTGAGCCTCTTGCTCTGTCTTGGCGCAATATTCTCACCTGCGTCGGATTTATCTTTGTCCTCGGTTGCAGTAACTGATGACACCTTTTTTAGCAACTTATTCGAAATTATCGTCGGTTTTTTCGAAGGAGTTTGATTGTGGCTTTTTTCGAAGATATTCGTGGAATGTAAATTCGATCGTTCTTGGTCTCTCAGAAACATCTTTCTCCCTCTTGGTATAATTTTCTCACCTGCGTCAGAATCATCCTCATCCTCATTCTTATTCTCAGCAACTGAAGGCACTTGTTTTAGCAACTTACTCGAACTTCTGCTCGGTCTTTTCGAAGGAGTTTCATTGTAGCTTTTTTCGGAGATATTCGTAGAATGTAATTTCGATCGTTCCTGGTCCCTGTTGAACATCTTGCTTCCTCTTGGCCCAGTTTTCTCACCTGCGTCAGAATCATCCTCATCCTCATTCTTATTCTCAGCAACCGAAGGCACTTGTTTTAGCAATTTACTCGAACTTCTGCTCGGTCTTTTCGAAGGAGTTTGATTATGGCTTTTTTCGGAGATATTCGTAGAATGTAATTTCGATCGTTCCTGGTCCCTGTTGAACATCTTGCTTCCTCTCGGCGCGGTATCTTCAACTTCCCTCGATTTATTCTTATTCGCGATACCCGAAATCGACTGATTTCCCAACTGGTCCGAACTTATTGTTTGGTTCTTCCAAGTACTTTCATCGTCTGAACTTTCGGATTCATTATCGGAGACACCCTGATTTCTTATAGTCGTATTCAACTGCATCTGCGACCTATCCATACTTCCACTTTTCGGGCTCGATCGAACGTGACCTTGTTCTTCTGTCTCGGAGTTTCTAGTGCTCGATGTCGAGCCATCATCAATGTCCCTCAGATTACTCTTGCTCCGTTCCCGCCTAGTATTCTCGACTTCGTCTGGTTTCTCTTCGCGCTCCTTGTTCGTGGAGGTCGAAAGTAAGTATTCCAGTAACCTGGACGAACCTGTACTTTTCAATAGCCCACTAGGCAGATCTTTCAGCGACAAAATTGCCTCCGATTTCGGACTATCCTCTTTGTTTCGGGATTCCCCTAAACTTTTCCCTGTGCTACTACCATTCTCGATTTCACTCGACGTAATTTCCCGTGCGCTACCTAAAAACGACTGGTTTCCATCCAAGTTCCTGCTCTGCTTCGTTGAAATATTCTGCCTCGGCTCTATGCTGACGTCACTCGGCTCGCTAATCGTCGACGATTCTCGCGATCTCACCGAACCTCTGCTCGGGCCTTTCTGTGAATTTTCCACACCGGTCTCTTCGAAATAACCTGAACGACACGATATGGCCGCTGCTACCTGCGACCTATTCGAATGTCTGCTTTGTCCCGCCCCGATCGCCTCTTGTTCGAAAACATCCAAACTTGCATGTGTACCTCTCCGCGACACCTTGATATTCTCTTCTGCCAAAACATCGTCTTCTTGATCGTTCCCTAAAAAAATAGATTTTCGATGGGAACTAATATTGGAACTTCGATCGTCTGTTGCGTTCGTAACTTTCTGTTCCCGCGTGCCAGTATGATCGATTTTCGATCGAACGCTTCTTCCATCCATTGTTCTCTCCTTATTACTGTTATCGCGACTAGCTCTTATTATTTCGATGTCGCTTGCGTCCGTACAGCTTGACAGTTTCAGATTTATGTCCTCCGAAGCAATGTTCGAGTCCTCTCTGCTACTTACGCTTCGATGTCTTGCCATTGGTGTATCCAGAACGTCCTCAACCGCAAAATTCTGTCCTTTCGAACGATTAGAAGAAATTGTTCTATGCGAATGTTCGTCTGCTTCGAGAATTTCTTCGAACATATTTTTCCTTTGACTTCTGTACATTCCCCTCAATAACTTCGATCTGACTTTCGATACTTCGCGAAGATCCTGGTCCGTATTGGAGGTTTCGCTAGAAGTTACGGAGGATTCGACCACACGAACCCGTTCGATCGGTTTCTTAGCGCTCTGAGTCGCTGGAACGATGGAATCGGTGATGTCGAACGAGCTCGTCCCTTTCGATCGTTTCCGTTCATCGTGCTTACTTTTATCCTGAATATTTTCTACCACTGATTCCAAGGACTTGTGCGACTTATTGATTTGTCCGGACGCATAATTTGTTGGTATCCTGGCGTCCCTTGCGGCGCTCTTACGAATCGATCGATTCTCATCTTCGTTATCGGCGTCGCTTTCTTCCTCTGTGAGAATATTTTTAAAAACATTTCGTTTTGTGTCTATATTACGGCGCATCAACAGTTTCGATTTTCGTTTCAATATTATGGTTTCTGTGTCGCTGGTACTATCTTTTGCGCTACTCTGCTGAAAAGAAACAGTATTTTCAAGCAGCGTACTCGTTATTTTTGGTATCGACCAATCCGAAGTGTTGGGTTCGTTCTCGATCAGTGACGACACTGTTCTCGGATCAGCTCGAGCGATGATGGGAGAGGCGGATGCAATAGAAAGTTTATTTTTTTTTTTTGAGCCAGCTTCCCTCCTTTCGTTTAATATCTCCTCAAATATGTTCTCGTCTCTGTTCTTCCCTTTCTGCCTGAAAATACTAGGTTTTTGTTTCAAAATTTCGTCTGTTTCTTGACTTTGATTCAAACTGGTACTCTTGTTCTTGGCTAGTTGTCTAGAAACAACAGGAACCTCATCGGTTATCTTAGAATCATAGACAGAACTGTTTCTCCCGACTTTATGCTGGGAAGTGGATAACACCGATGACTTGGAAACTTTCAAAGCATTCGAGGTGTTACCATGAACTTTCTTTGCTTCTGACCGTAAAGGAGGCTCCTTCTTCGCGATTTCAGATTCTTCATCCGACTCTGAGAGTGCTGCTGTGCCGTAGATCGCATCTATTACAATATAACAGTTAATGTATAGATTGAATTAGAAATATTTTATTTTCTGAGACATCGTTTTTACCTTTACTGGAACGATTAGGAATCGTTACTAAAGATTTGGATCTACGAGACGGGGTATCCAATACTTTCCACCATTCACCTTCAGGTTTACTCGTTTCGAGTAACGAGTTGGAGTTCAAGTGTTGACTCGTTTGATTCAAGGTACTAAAACGCGCGGATGGTCTTGCTATTGTATCGTTTTCTAAATTTCTCCACCAATATGGTTGTTCTGCAACATACGTACATATGCACAGTGTCAAGTTACGACGCAAATACATAACCTACATAACGTTCAAGAACAATTTATACATACCATTGTCCAGAAGGCCTGTATCAGGGTCCAGAATAGCCGAGCCAACGGTGCTTCTGCTATATCTGGAGAGCCGTTTATTTATACTTTTTCGTTTTGCCATAATTACAATCGACAATCGAAGCAACTACTCCAAGCAATATTTCTTTTCTCGTCGGAACAATATGTATAAGAAGAACTTAATAACAACACATACATCTCTAGAACGGTTTAATTAATACAAAACAATCGAACAACATCCCTGGACATCTCACCGGGATAAATTTCCATACACTTGCACAATAAACTGCAAAAAACTGTACGTTGCCGCTCAAAAGTTGGGCTCTTTTCCATGGGATTTGTAACGTTCCGTTTCGGGTCTTAGGGTTGTTCTCAACGATTCCTAAAGCAAAAATCTAAAACTCATGAGCAAACTCGGCTTCCATTAGAAGGAGAAGAGCCTTCTACCACTTATTAAATTTATTTCAAGTACCGAAATAAATATTAAAATGCATGTTAATTTGGCATAAATATCAGAAACTTCCGAAACCAAATGGTAGACGCCCCTTTTCCAACGCCACTTTATCCCCTAGTGGAAGCCGAGTTTGTTTGCGAAGGTACTGCGCAGTAGCTTGTAAGAGGGGTCATAGAACCCCCGGAGCACCTGCAACAGACTCTGTGTGGTGAGAGCTTGGGGCCACAGAACCCCCACGGGTGGCGCCAGTGACCCCGTGGGACGAGGTCGTGGGGTCAAAGAGCCCCCACCGGTGGCGCCAGAGACCTCGTGTGGTGAGAGCTTGGGGCCACAGAACCCCCACGGGTGGAGCCAGTGACCCCGTGGGACGAGGTCGTGGGGTCAAAGAACCCCGACAGGTGGCGCCAGAGACCTCGTGTAGTGACAGCGTGGGGGCCACAGAACCCCCAGAGGTGGCGCCAGTGACCCCGTGTGACGAGAGCGTGGGGTCACAGAGCCCCCGGAGGAGGCGCCAGAGATCCCGTGTGGTGACAGCGTGGGGTCATAGAACCCCCGGAGCATGTGTAAGAGACCCCGTGTGTATATATGAAGTAAGTATAGGAGCAACGTTAGGAAAATATAATTCGATACAAGTAGGTATCCATACTTTTGTTTCAATACCGTGTAAGTATCTATACCTTCATACAAAAGTAGTTATGAGTAAAAGTATTGATACCTTGGTAGTATCGATTTAACCCTAAGGATGGGTCCACTACGATTAGTGACCAACTAATTGGTCGCGGTTTTCTTGTTAATATCTTGTTAAAAAAGTCTCGGATAACATTTTTACTAAGGAAAAATTTATTCAAAATCGCCTCACGAGCGTTCCATTTCAGGGACCTGCAACATTGACCATGGCAGCTGCTGTAACTCTTCTAATGAACTTAGGAACATATACTTTTAATTTATATCACCGGACATTTAATGATTATTTTAAAAAAATACAGTTTATCCGTTAAATAAGAATGAGTCCACCGTTTTAAGTAATTATTAATTAAGTTCTATTCCTTAGAAATCAATCGTGAGTTTGTTGTATGCGTCTCATCTCATATACTGTTATTCTAGAGTTAATCATAACTCTAAACAATATACCATCATATTTTCTATACAGAAGGTCATAGTACAATTAATTTTCCGTGAGCCATGTGTATAATATGTATAAAAGGTTATATACAATATCTAAACACTTCGCTATTCGCGACAATAAGTTTGATATAGAGTAGACTGGGAAATCAAAATACAATGTTGAATGTTAAAATAGTGGAAGCCGTCACGTGTACTAGTTCAAGTGTCAAGTAGTCTCGATATTCAATATGTCCAGCACTTTACAAGCGATCTAAATAAACAAGTATTGAAAATCGGGTTCATCGTCACCTCCGACGAATGAAAATAATAATTTATCAGCCTTGAATGCATTTTTTAATTAACCACGTATCTATTTTGCCTTTGCAGAAGAACGAGATCTCAAGTTCTTTTTAGTTGCCTGATCTACCTCTGGCAAATCATCGTCTTCGGACGCTGCCGGTTTTTTTCCTGAAAATATACATTTTACATGAAGCAACGCCCATTTAAACTTGTCGTCTTGTCTTACCTTCCTTTTTCTTCGACTTTTGTTTCGTCTTGGCAGGTATTTGTACGGGGATTGCATTGTCACGAACGCGTTTAATTTGTCTTGTAACATATACGTAAGAAAGATACGCTTGGAAGGCAATGATAATGCTTAAAGCTGAGAATCGTACGAGCGGGACATTAAAATTCCCAGTAACATAATCAAATACACTTTCAGTTCGACTTAAACCATACAGGAATACTAAGGTTGCAACAGCGAGTGTTGCAATCCGTACGAAAAGGTACATGGAATTAGCAACAAGAAACATCACTGTAAGAAAATAGGTAAATGTTAGTAGACATCTGTTTTTCGTACGTAGTAGCCCGAATTGTCGTATTTTAACTTACGTTTTGTTATCTGTTCCCTTTTACTGACAAAATGAACAATTCTGGCGACATGAAGTATAATATCGCCCGCGTAGTGCAAAACCAATAACATGATTCCTACTTGTTGGAAACTGCAAGAGATACATATTAAGCGGATTAATTAGGTAGTGCTGTAAAATGATAAAACCAGTCATACATAAAGCACATGTAACTCATACTTTAAAATATAAGCTGCAAGGGTAAATAAGAATCCAATGGTTGCTTGCACAATGCGGGGTGGGATATCTTCTCTCTTTACCCTTTGGAAATACAATTCAGGATAGCAATGCAACCAATAAGATAGCTGACCAATAAAGAATAATTTCAAAGAGAATGTCAATGGCACAGGATATTCTTTCCATAACGATGTTATATTTAACAGCAAATTTTCCCTGAAAAAATGCAAATTTACAATACAAAGTAATACTTATTACTGCACAATTATTATAAATAACTGTTTACCTGACAATTATATCTATGCCCCATATAATGGATAAAGCAAAAAACAAAACCAGTTGACTGGATTCGTTAAATTTAGCAAGCTTCACCTTACTGAGATGTAGACGTTTAGAAATTTTCTAAAGGAAAGAAAAATACAATTGCTCGTGTGCCTGTTCATTTAAAAAGAAGGGGGAGTTTACAAGAGACATAACTTACATCAAACACGTATTCTTGAAACACAGCATGCATTACAATTGTAATTAAGAAGTAGAAAAACACAGCGCATGAGTCTTTCCAGCCGGTTGTATATTTGACTGGCACCATTGGATCTTCAATGTCAGAAGATACATTATGATGGAGAGCAATGAATGTATATGCCCATGGTGATGTTGCCTATAAGATAAATGATGTGGTTAAAGAAATACTGGGTAAGCAAACGATTTATAATTTGGAAATAATAACATTTTAAAGACATCACAATTTGGAACAGTAAAAATTAAAGAAATCAATAAAAGAAAGAGTAATCTGTATAATAAATAATAAATTGTTTGACACAAGACGTATCTAATCTGTGATCATCAATTCATCGGTAAATCCTTCTCAGTGGCAAGTGTATACAATCCTCGCAGAGATATAGCGTGGTCCTAAATTAACACGTCGAGCGGCGGCACCGATTGATATCGTGGCACTGTTGTAAAGTTCCGCCCAATAAAAGGATTACGATTTATGACTGACGACGGTAGGTATTTCATTTACAAGTAAATTCCAATAAAATATCCTAAATATTTTAAATAGTATAAATTACTATTCAGAATATTTAGGATATTTTGAAAAGGATATTTACTGTTTGACTGATATCACGACCACGCTATATGTCTGCGAAGAATATAACATATGGTTATTCCATTAACGATAAGTGAAACTGGTAAAATATGTATAAGAATTCTCAACTAAACGGTTGAGTCTCACTCGCTGAACACTGTTAAATGAAATGAGACACACGACGTGATTGTGGGAAAACAGGTTTTCAAATAATGTGAAAGTCTATTGTCGAGAAAAAAATTGGTCACTGACCTGCACCATTAGACCAGTCACAAAAATCAAAGCCACGCAAGAAACAATATCTCCATGATTTTGAATGACGAATTCATGACTGAATATAGGAGGATTTTTATTCGAACTTTTGCGTCCTTTAATTGCAACCATTTCAAGAACAAAATTCACTGTTTCTCGGTTCACGATAGTCAGTCCTTCACTGAAAAGTGTTCGAACCGAACGATACGGCGGACAACTGTACCACAGTGTACAGGTGTAACTATACTGAACTATACTAATACTGGCTAGTCCGTCAAAAGATTGTGCCAGTACCGCTTACACCGATACACTACTAATGCAAGGAAAAAGCAGGGTATGAAAACGAGTGGCCAACGTTGGACAATGTGGCGCCTCTGTCTATACTTGTTGGCACCATGTAAATCAGAATAATATCAAAAATGATACATAGAATTACCGATATTTTCGTATTTCTTATGGTCTTTTGTACTACAAACGGAAAATAAAATTTTGTTCGGCAGGAAGATGATTAGTTTTGTAGCTGAAAGTTCGAGCGCACAATTATACGTACGCTCTGTTGTCTTCAAATGCGACGATTTATATTATGTCAGAGTACGGTCATGAGTGGATCCTTTGAATTCTGCCGAAAGAGAATTTAAAAGTGCACAATCGTAAAGAGCATGTTAATGATACAACACCACGAAAAAGGGCAGATCAAAACCGTTAAACACTTATAAGATACATTTTATTTAGAGCATTAGGTACATTCTGAGTGATCGCGACATACGCGTATATTTTATTTATACATACAGAGACGCGTTTACGTACCTGTGACTGAAATTGTGCATTAACCACGAGTACACCTCGCGAAACTTTGGGCTATCGACGAATTGATTACAACTAGAAGTAGTCATGCGACGGTAAGAGTGAAAATACACATTCAACAATTTGATGTTGGAATAAAATAACTTTTGCACGCTACGTGTATATTATGACACACAGATAAACTGTAAATTCATTGATCAACAATGAGTCGAAAATATACATATATATCTGTAATCGTAAAAATAATATACTCTTTCAACGTTATATCTTTCGTACTCTATCGGTTAGTTATTAATGGTATGATATTTAATGCCAGTGCATATTTGTACATTACTGCGTGTTTGCATCAGCTCAATTAACAATGAGACATTCGATGTTCGTTCGTTCGTGTGTCGGTGAACACCCGATATACGATGAAATACCGAACTTGTACATGGATCTATAGAAATTATATTGGAACTTCTGCACGCAGAATAGGGTATATGAATGGATAAAACAAAAAAGTTTTTCTGTAGACATGCGATTATGTACTTTGCCTTGAAACATTTTCAAAATCAATACTGTATTCGATAGTTTAATATGAATCACTCAGATCAGTAAGTCAGTTTAAGTACGATATCCGGTTCTATTCATCGTATGATAGGCCGAAATAAATGATGATCTTTAAAACTCTATAGAATTCTGTCAAGCATATTTTTGTAAAACGTGTTTTATTCTATATAGTTAGCAATTGTCCGTCTGGAACGATTAATAGTGTCATTTATTTGCTTCTCGACAAGAACTATTGTCTTCACGATATTCTAGACGATTCGCAACAACAGCAACGACTTTAAACGAGCGATTTACGTAATCTTTCATTAAACACGTATACACACCATTGTCATTAACCTAGAATTAGGATTCAATACTTTAGGACAAGTATGCACGATTACATGTGTCGCAAGCTCTGTCTCCTTATGTATCCGAACAAAGCTGCTTCCTCGATTACTGGTATCTTATAATAAAATGGATTACACTGGAAAAGTTTATAATAACGATGTCAATTGAAAGGAAGCCTTTCTTTTACGTATCATTGTTGATCGACACACTGCTCTCGCATTAGTGAACCGTGGACAAGCGTCACAAATCGCTAGAAAATGTTTCTCTCGTACCACGTTTCGTAAAATCAACACATTATTATCACACGTTATCCCGCATCATCTGAAGTTCACAAATACGAATAAATTCGTGGTGTTTGGATTCTAGAATTTCGGTACGAACAGTAAATTCTACTTTACACAAAATCATTACGAGCCTGGTATTCGTACGGCTCGTGACAAATACACGAGAACTGAACAAGGTACAACGATATAACACGATTTAAATCTAAATACTCTTGTGGTCACAAGCCTTAAATCTTAGCAAAATCTTTTAATGTTACACGCAACCAGCACGACTCGGGTCTTTGGCGTGGCCCTTTTAACGTCGTCCAACGTTGCAAATTATGGTTCGAGGTAGACAAGTATATTCTTCTTAATAGCTTTTCGTAGCTATCGGTAAAGCTAAACCAAAGGATAAAGTTTTCATTAACGGAAAAATGCCACGTTACGTTTAGTTTTATATCTTAGTAGACCACAAATATAGCCTAGTACCATTTATCCGCGAAGTAGCGTTCCATGAGAGTAGTGACCGATTTCGTGATTCATGCTGCAAACTAAAGCGTTCGAGTAATGACTGTAACAGATTCTCATTCTAACGGACTCTTGGTAAAATAACGTGAATAAAATACGTGCTCGATATGTCATTTGGTTTCTTTTAAAAATTCACACACGATTGCAACGCAACTCTTTTTAAATGGCTCGACACCTATATCCTATATGTATACGTAATATATGGCCAATAATAAACGCAACGTCAAATGTGCTTTTTTTTCACGTGCTTCGAACGATTCATCAGTAAGCACTGAAACTAGAAATTATTCAATTCAAATATCGTATGGAGAGATCATCACACACTCAACCGTGATTATGTATACTTAATGCATATCCTCATTGTAATGTATCATTTGATTATTATATGTACAATTACATTAATTTCCTAACTTCGTCTGTCCTTATTCTCAAAACAATGCGTATACGCATATTTTTATCAATAGCAATAAATATTTAACACTGTCACTGCTATAACAATTTAACTGTTTTTTTTTATCACTATCAATGAAAATGCCATTTGGATTTTCTAATAACTCGTCTTGTTCTCTTACACTATTCAGGTATAGCTGCTTACCTTCGCACTTTCAGGTACTGTTTTTGTACCTACTTCTCACCTGAGCTTAAACCGCATTTTAAAATACATTAAATTCGTATATTTCTCGGACAAAATATTCATCTGTATTCTTTAACCATGGCAAAAGTAATGTGCAATAGTCTGTCGTTTATTTAGATCGTTCACATTCAAGGTTTTCAGCGCGCTAATGTCTCGTTATTAAATAAACTGAACATACAAAACGACAGGTGCACCGTGTATACATTATGAATTTTGCAGTCAACGATAAGAATGGTTTCACTTACAATTAAATCCCGCAGAAGGTTGTATTCTACGATTTTATATCTAAAATTTGATCGTTCGCCTCGAAGATAACAACGGAACATGGTTACCATAATGCCATACAATACTGTAATACTCTTCAAATAGAATCTACTTTCCACGATTAACATTATACACTTTACGGAACATTACCTTATACCGTATCATCGTGAAGTGTAATTGTTCGCTTAGACAAGAGGTGGGTCATTCTCGAGATCCATTTCCTCGATAGTTATATAAAGTCCTTCCTCCTCGTACGTGGACTCGTGTTTCGCTAAAACTTTGAGCAACGGCCGTAATTTCATCCACCATTGATACGTTGGAATGCGATGCCTACAAAATTCGTAACATATTACCCGAATCTTTCAACGTGACAAAACACATTGTTTACTGAACAAAAAATAAAACTCAACGACCCGAAGTTACAACTGTGATTCCTAAATTTCCGTTGGCTTGTGTACTTACTCAAAATCGGTTACTTCGAGAAGATCCTCAAACGGAGTAAATCTATATTGTCTCCGCACTATACCGATCATAACCGCAGTATCGTTATCCGTGGTTAATGTTTTTCCATCGGCGTTAGTGTGCTTCTTCAGCTGGTCGCTGAACCAATCGACCGCTTTGGAACCCATCTTTGTACCCAAGTTACGATCGAACGGAGTCGGCGAACCACCTTGTTGCATATGACCTAGAGTCGACGATATTTTCATCAGAGTGTCCACAAAGGTATTTTTATTTGCAGGAATTTCAGAGTTTAATGTCGATCTGTTATTAAATGCACACCTATGATATTCATTCTACAGCTAAAGAGACCCTTTCCCTCTTCGCTGAACAGTCTCTGCATAAAATCTGTATTGTAATTTAAATTAGCGTTCTCGTTTCTCAGGATAAGACCCCTCTGTACACCTTCGGACATCTTCGCAGCCATCGCAATCACATCCTGATTTAAATCTTTGATATTGAATTTCTCCTCGAATATATATGCCGCGTCAGCGCCGCCAGCTAATCCAGCCACAGTGGCTAGATAACCGCAATAACCACCCATTGTTTCAATAATAAATACACGAACCATACATCCACACGACTTAATATACATCATCGTCTCGTTCGACCGTCAAATTTCGGTAAAATATTTAATCTCACCTCCGTAATTTCATTCAGAGCAGTATCACAACCTAATGAAAATTCTGTACCCGGCACATTGTTACTGATAGTTGCAGGTATCATAGCAATGGGAATTCGGAATTCTTCGTACTTATCCCTAGCTTTGAAGAAACTAAGTCCCGTCTGGTAACCCTATTGTGATGGAATAAACAGTCGGTTACGATCCCAAAGAAAATTGTTGTTCCGCAAACTATTACTTGTACTAAGTGTTCTTTCATGATTGTTACCTCGAATCCTCCTATAATAAGCAACGCTTGAATTCCATATTCCTTGAGTTTCTGGGCAATATGGGGCAACTGCTCCTCTTTCGGAGGAGTACGTTTCGTTCCCAAATAAGCACCACCTTGAGCTACCCACCCGGTGACGGATGGCCAATCCATCTGTTTGAACTTTCCAGCCATAAGACCCAATACTCCGTCGCAAATTCCGTAAACCTGAAAGTGTGCGCTATAAAAATCTCATTCGGATAATATTGTACAAAGAAATTCCAGCTGACAGATGATACCTTGTCGCCTCGATATATACAATTTCTAACGAATGAACGCACGGCCGCGTTCATACCACAGGAAGGCGATCCTATATGCATCACAGCTAACGTATAATGGTCCTGAAACAAAACATTCAAACAATATCGTGGACGAACTGGATGGTAATCCCATGCAGCGTGCATTTAAAAAAAAACGAACACATTCTGTGGTCTGACGTAATGTTCGGCATTAAGTATGGTACGATGTTTATATGTTCACTTCTGTCAGCTTAGCGAAACGCTTGCTAGATGTATAAAAAAAAAAAAAATACAAACAGAGTACATGAAAACACGATAGAGATAAAACGATGATTTAAATGCTGGTTAACTCACTTGTCCGCATAGAGTGAATTGCTAGTTTAGAAGGAGAATTAGGAGATGTTAGAGAGATTTGCGCTACAAGGCATCGAAATTCATTATTTAGCAGAAACGGGAAAATTAATATTTCTTTCGTAAACAGATTTACCTTTGTTAATGCGGGGCCATTACTTTCCTGAAGCAGTATTAAACAATACATGTAATAAAGATAACTCTTCGCCACTGTATTACAGTTAAACACATTACAACTAAAAACCTTCGAATAGTTTGCATCCAATGTTTCGTTTACTAACCCTCTACTAAATTTTTTATTTAAATGGATGTATCTAGTTCGTAATTTCGACAGAAGGTTTTGAGTTCGTGGTAGCTTCTCATAATACGTTCGAAAAAACAATTATGTACCTTGTTCGGATCGTGATCTACAGGCGCTTTCAGACGAGTCAACATCTTGTATGTCTCCAAGTTGCGAGCGAATCCTCTAAAAATATTTCACGTAACAATTCAATTCGTATATTGGACAGTTTATATGCGTTATCAACGGTTCTGCTTACTTTCCACGGAGTTGAACAGCTAGGTCCCAATTTTTATCGGCCATAGCTTGCGCTACTGCCTTGGTACGACGGACACACTCCATTAGCGGCAATCGAACGGCTTGATTTCCGTCCAGCGTAACGACGCAAGCTTCTGTTTCCGGTGTTGCTTCCATTAAAGCCATCACAGCTTCCGCTCCCATTCGACAGCCCTGAATGTTTCGTCGTCATTGTTATTATTACGGTAATGCAACTCCATTGAGATTTAGCAAGTTTCTACATACCAATCATACAGCATAGCTACTAACCAGAACTCTATCAAAAGCTGACGGATTACCACCTCTTTGGACATGACCAAGAACGGTAATCCTGGTGTCTTGTTGTAGCTTATCTACAACAACATTATGGACTTTTTCAGCTGTAATTGGCTGGCCATTTCGATCCACTGCTCCCTCAGCCACAATGATAATATTCAAACGTTGGCCAGTAAGTCGTTCCTGAAAAAACCGTTGTTTCGATATTAATACTTACACAGAAATCCTAATGACTGTATTGTCTATACTTGCATAGATAATGTATGGCTGAAGGGAACAGATTTCGAAAGGTCACACTGACTACTGTGTTGTAAGTTGTTATACGAAAACTTGTCACAATTTGTTAAACTGAAAAATGTATGATTGATGTGCACAGCTAAATCATGTATGAAATAAAAAGAAAACCGCGTGCAGTTACACAGACAAGCTTACCATGAGAAACAAAGAAACCAAAATAAGAACTATCAAAAATATCTTGTTCCATCTGTTCCTAGCGAAGCGAATAAAGCATAGATCTTATAAAATCATTCATTGTGTTTACTCTCACTGCATAGTAACGCATCTAACGCAGTTCAATTTTTGAATCGCTGAAAAAATTATAAAAAAAATTGCGAACCTGCAACAACTTTTTGCACAGCTTGTTTGGCCAATCCTGTTCAGGTGGCCACTCTGGGATGAATACAAAGTCAGCTTCGCAACATATGGCTGCCACTAGAGCCAGGTAACTGTAATAGTATGTTATAAAAGCTAGCTAAAAATATTAGAAAATGAAAGGTAACAATAGTGAGTAAATTTAGGAATGCAAGAATGTTCAATTCGGACGAATGAAAAATACAAATACCAGACTGAAAATTTCAGGAGATTTCAACTGGCTTGTTTTGTGTTTAGTATGTATAAACAACGTTTACATACAACACTGTAAGTTTTCCATTCAGAAACTAGCATACAATTAATGTTCTGCTTAATCTAACTACATTGGTGAAGGAGCAGACACACGCTTCCGAATATAAAAGATAATGAATTTAATGAAATACAGCAACATCTGGCCGCAACAAGATTGTATTCTAGTTACGAAAGTTTAATCATGGGTAACGTTATTATTTGAAACGTGCCTGTTGCACAGCTTTGCAAACCTCCTCGACCCAATCACCTGTTGTCGGTGCTTCAGGTACAAAAGAATAGCATACTTCGGAAGATAAACTCGAGGCTAACGTCAGATACCTGCAAGGCTCTAATTGCATTATCTTTACGTATCATGGCTTGTCGAAATTACTATTTAATTGTTCATTATTTCGTTTATGATCGCGCAATTGTATGAAATGAAACCTAATTTAAGTTTTATAGATAAATAAAAAGGGGAAATGATATATAACAGGAAACAACATTTTGCTTCGTGACATCAACAACACAAGTAAGCAATCAAAAGTATAGGAAAAATATATAATCGCCGTATTTGTTAAATTTAGTTAGTAAAAGGCAACACGGTGCGGCCACAAATATGGTAAGAAATTCGGAAAATTCCTAATTAACACATGCCTGCTCCAATTTTTTACATAGTTTATCAGGCCAGTCAACTGGAGGTGGTGATTCCGGGCAGAATACAAAATCTGCTTCTGCAGCTAAAGCGCCCACAATGGCCAGATACCTATCCGAAAATTGACCAGACTTGTAATTAAATAATACCGCAGAACTAAACATTATTAGTTTATCAAAGACTACACACTTTAACAGGGTATTTTCTTTCGTTGCTGGAAAGTCAATTTCCTGTTTAAAGATTTTGGTGATGCTATTATCGAAGTGAAATGCTCCTCTGAAGAAATTAATTCGTATCGACATACACTAGTGTCTACGTACCCGCAATGACGACCCATAACTTCCATAATGAATGTCCTTTGATGAGAATACGCAGTACTAACGATTGCGTCAATGCTTTCAATGATACGATGCAAAGCGGAATCAGTACCAATGGTCATATCAGTTCCACAAAAGTCATTATCGATAGATCCGACCATACCAACGATATGCAAGTGTTGATACTTGTCTGCTTGCTCCTTAGTTATTTCACCTAAAGATAGAAAAACACGAAGAATGCACGTAACAGATATGAAGAGATAGATGCGAAAGAGAGCAATATTTTTTACCTGCGTCAGCCAATTCCTTTAATAGATCTGCCCATTCTTCCTTGAAAAGATTTGCACCAGTAAGAGAACCATCGCCACCAATTACAACTAAATTAGTAATTCCACGAGTTACTAAATTTTTGGCAGCTTTCCTACGACCAGAGTGTTCTCTGAATTCTTTACATCGAGCTGAACCTATTACTGTACCACCCTGTAACATAGATGAATTTATTAGCCTCCTAAGCTAAGTAATAAAAAAAACACAACTATACACGTACTCTATGAATAATGCAAGACACAGAGGACCAAGTCGCCTCTACAATGTGACTTCCACCATCTACCATGCCTTGATAGCCTTCCTTTATGAAAAAAACTTTACATCCTAGATAAATACCCATTCTAACGACTGCTCGAACTGCAGCATTCATTCCTAAAAGATACATTGCAGTGAAAATAAACAGTGTAGTGTACAATAGTCATTTTCTAACCAAACGGTTTAATTTCTTACCTTGAGAATCACCTCCACTGGTGAAGACTGCAATGCCTTTACCTTTATGACTACCAGGTTTTATGAATCTTTGTGCTGCTAGATCATCTGCCATTTTTCGATTGTAATAATACTTAGGTCCCTATAATGTTAAATTATATTAGCTGAACATTCCATTTAATTATATTACTTATAATAATACTACTTTATATTATATAGTTTGTTTGCCTGGACTGGTTGTGCACATAAATAATCACTGTCAGATTCATCAAGAAATGGAGCTGATGTGTCCAAACTGTCGTAACAGTAATTAAAGATACCGCTTGTACGATCGCTGAGATAATTTTTTGTGAACATCTAACGAAGTTCTCTATTAGTATAAGACAATATGCTATTCGTTTATAAGTACCATGTATTACACTTGTTGCAAACTTTGCTCACTTGTGGAAAGGCCATAGATAATTGAAAATTCAATTCATTAACTTTTGCTTTATACCCAGTTAAACTATTGTCTGTACCAGAAGTATTTATGCTTGCATTTTCTAAAGATGATGGAGTTTTCACGGAAACAAGAAAATTCAGTTCCTTGTCATCTGATCGAATGTCTGCATTATTTTTTGGAGCTCTTATTAATTTCAAGTCAACCACAGCAAATACTTTGCAGCTAACAAATTACTTTTTGCCTGAGTAACAAACTCTGGAGAGGAACCTTCATCCTCTGATTTGTACATATTACAAGAACATGAAATTGTACTACTTCTTTCAGACATATCTTACAGAAAAAGTAAACAGTGAATTTGACCAATTACTAAAGGATGATAAACCGGAATTGTGTATGATATAACCTTGGAAAAAGGGACACAGAAATTCTTAAACATTAGAAGAGCATTTTATATAGTATAACACGAACGTTGCAACTAATGCAAATCTGTACTTTGATAGTAGTAAATTATCGTAGAATTAAATATGTTAACGCAGACTGACATTAGGAATCTCAAACGGAGCGTTGAATATCAACATATTTTCTCAAAGGGCATTGCAACACGAAAGTTCCTCGAGCAGTCCTTCGTATTTTAAAATAAAATAGCGTGCGTGCAAAGAATCAATGGAATCTGGCACAGTCTCAAAGTACCGCGCATCAAAACATCCGAACGACAGTGAAATGTACAGTATAGATCATTTGAATTACAATGTTCGAGGAAGATGCCATAAATTTCTTACGTGATCGTTTTGTTCGCCGAGCGACGGCTAATATAATTTAAAAAATAAGTGGATCGATAGAGCGTGTTAGTAAGATTTTCAACTTGGTTTTACAGTTATGCATTGCAATGTGTATACAACGCAACGTCGTACTGTCACTGACAATTGGGTGAAGTGAAAAGTCCTACCACCGTCGAACTGTATTAAGAAATAAATATGTAGGTGTTAATCAACTCACCGAATAAAAATAATTATTATGACGGAAACTGAAGTGTGGACGATCCTGTCAGTTTTAAAGTTAACGAAGAACCCGCGGTTATCGGACAAAACCCCAGACACTGCTTCCACGTCCTGTCTCTGACTAAAACTGAAGGTGACCTTTATCTGTGCTTTTGCACTCATCCCCACCATCGGTATCGGGCGCCTCTCCACACCCCACTCGACGCAACAACAAATTTAGAAAACGTCCCTAGATGGTGTTAGTGAGACGCAGATCAGCCAATAACCAGCCTTCGTAGTTTTCCCTGCGTTTCCAGAACTATTTCAAATCGTATTCTCCCCGAACATTTCGAATTCGATATTGCACTTCTTTTTATGTTCAATTCGATTCAACTCGCGTTCGAATGAAAATGAACTAAAATTTTTCTTGCGTTTGTATTCGTGGCCTACGTTGCAGGTAGAGTCATTACTTAGTTCTGTATCTGAAATGATAATAATAACAACAACAATAATCAATCAAAATGGTTTAAATAATCACCCTACGCAATACTTCAAAGAACAATTCAATGTACGTGTCGTTATCCTCGTACCTTCTTCGATTCTTAGAAAATGACGTCACTAAACGACAAAGATCGAGGCATTTTGTACGGAAAAAAAAATAGAATACTGTACGCCACTGTTACAGTTTTATGTGGAAATAACTTCGGTGAAATATTCTGTGATGGTAAGATTAGTTGAAAAACTTCAAGACAATGTGTCTGCTGTAACAATTGAATATTTTACCCCTCGAATCAAGAATGATTCGCCGCGAGTCATGTATTACAAGTACATAAGCACGGTAACCAGGTTCATCGAAGAATTTCATCAGACATTGTTTCACCATTGAACGTAACATTTCGCGACCAACCGTTTCATGTTCGTTCCCCATTTGAATGTGCAAATAATTTCTTTCGAAAAAAGGTCTGTATTAACACGTAAAGTAATAATTGCGAATAGGATAGAAACGTATAATTATCGATTTAGCATGATACACGATTTCATCATTTCATACGCAATCCCAACGGTAACGTGTCGAATTTATCGGTCAATTTCAGCGTAGCAAATTTTTCCAACACCGAGGACCTGTGGAACATCAAATACCATCACGGTGTTGTTCCGTGTACGACACGATTTCACCTCTGCGGAGTAATTTGTCGTATAGTCTTCCTTTGTGGATATTCCTCGTTGTTCTGATCGAACTTTACTTATATCCTGTCTATCAAACCAACAATACCGAGGATATTGACGGTGACGAAGACGGCACGACGAAAATAAGAATTCTAACAATAGCCAAAAACTACGACCTAAATTCTAACACAAATTGAAAAACGACAACGACAGACATTTGAAGGCATCGTAACGAATATGTGTTCTCTCATGACAACTTAAGGCATCGTCCATTCGGGACTTCGTACCTTTTTCACGTTTCCTTTATTTCCGATTCTTTACCATAAATTCCACAATCACAGAGCCTGGATATTCGCTTCTCAGGACCACGCAATGCCAAGGCAGCCGAGATTACAGTTGTTTCGTTCTTTTTTTAGACATTTTATCAGAATTTATTATTTCGTGTAAACGTTTATAATAATTATAATTTACAATTATGATGTTTGATGATAAATACAAATAGAACAACGGAAGATGACAAGTGGAAACTAGGGAGATTCAATGGTTGAAATAGTATGGAAGTGGTATGCAGAGGCTAGCTTCTTCAATGAATATAAACGGTAGAGAGGAAGAGTGAGAGAGTAGAGAGAGAGAGAGAGTAGAAGTGGAGGGAGAGAGGGAGGGGGAGGGGGAGAGAGAGAGAGAGAGAGAGAGAGAGAGAGAGAGAGAGAGAGAGAGAGAGAGAGAGCGAATGAGAATTGATGAACCAAGGAACATTGTAATTGGAATGAAAGACGATATTTCGCCATTCGTATTGGTACAAGTACATAACAATATAACATTTCTAGGACCAAAACATTGTTTATCGACCCTCGATAGGATAAAATTATGAAAAAAATTGGAGTGACTTTTCAAAGGAAGATGGCGCAGGAAGAGACGAATGCGAGCGAATTATAATGATAACGATTCCATTGCTCGTGTCATGGACCGCTTTAAACTTACCGGAATAATTACACCAGAAAAAAAAAGAATGGGAATAGGATGACGTGCGACATTTCATATTCTCATCAAACTGATGGAGATGTAACAAATTCTGAACGAGTTAACGTTTCACAGGCGGGAAAAAAAGAACACGCTTACGCGTTGGGAGATCTGGCGATCGAACATCGACAGATTTGGAATTTGAAATGGATAGAGAGAAAAAGGAAATAAATATCATTCTGGCGGCAAAATGATGGAATCGTATAAATACAACATCGTTTGGACCTGCTGCGCGAGACCGAGACCATTATCGTGTCTGAAAGCAAACAACAAGTATAGCTCAATGTCCCAAAGAAATAACGGTTCGATCAGTTTCTTGATTTAACGGTTACGTGGTCGCGCTCAGCTGGCCCATCTCTAAAATTGATTCTAAGACTCTCTCTCGAGAATCTTTCCGCACCCCTTTTATCGTTTCGTTCTCGCTTGTTAGTCTCTCTTGCATCGGTAACTGATATATTGACGACACATAACGCGTAACTTGCATGGCTCGTTCGAACCGTCTACGAATCAAATTCCACAGATTTCATCAATCGTAACGTCGATGTTTCACACTTCCGTGGAGATCGATCTTACCGCTACCTATGCAAAATCGACTTGTTTTTTCGATATTCCTGGGTCGATCATTCGCGATACGACAGAAAACACGGACACATTGAAAGAATAGCACGTCGGGATAATGTTTACCCACACACACATTATAATATCGATAATCGTTACTTGTTTCCACGGAGTATACATTTAACGTTTCAGTGTATTTGTTTCAGAAGTGTAGGCGCGCGTACATTACACGTACGTGAAAAGTACACAATGCCGTACGAGACGTAACAACCGCGACATACTTTATGGTCTAGCAACGAGAGACGGGATGAAATGAACCGAACCAGAGGCGGACGGTGGATCTTCAAGGAACTTAGCTGATTTACAACAGAATAAGAGTAATAACAAACCAAAGCGTGAAACTGTTTAATATTTATTTATTTTGTATATCGTAAAAAAAAGAAGTTGACTGGTTTAACATAAAAACAAATGGAATTTCACCTTATATGTTTTTTTTATTTAATCGGAGAAAACTGATGTTTCTCACATAGAATTTGTATGTAAAAACGTAAAAATGACTTTTCACGGACCTCAAATAATTAGAAGCAATTAATTCGTACATATATACATATCAATCCGCCCCTGGACCGAATGTATCCGCTGCATTCGGACGCGTCGAGTGCAATCTATCGTCCATTCCTATACCATTTTTGAAATGGTTACGCAATGTCCTTCGTTTTTCTTTTTTTTTCGAGGTTTTGTCGGTCGAGGCTATATGATAAACCTTTCACAAGCGTCTCTTGAACATCCCTTTACATCCGTTACCACAAAAAAACCGGCGAAAATTCATCCCGATATTTCGTATTCGTACATTGAGTAGTGACTCAATGAAGAAATTAAATGTGAGAAATTTTGTTAATTTTTGTATCTAGTTTCTTTCACAAGAGAAATTCAAGTCCATTCTACACGACACGCGTGCATGCCAGTGGTTAACGATCGTACGCAATCGATGAAATTGTGAGAAACAACGAAGATTCGAGCTATTGATAATTTCCACGAGATCGATCATTGTTACACAAACAGAATATACATACATGTAGTGTGTATGCGCATATATACACACGTTTGTGAAGAATTCAAGAAAACATCGCGATTTTTTTTTATACGCGTACACACTTCATTCACGTATTCTTCTGTTCCTTTCACTGTAACAGAGGGGTCATTGTATTTGTGTTTTTTTTTGTGTGCTGATGTACACACACACACACACCACACGTGTATGCATATGCACACATATATCACACATTATACATATATATTTATCTAGAAAGGAAAGGAAATATAGTAGCAGCAAAGAGTGAGAGGGTGGGACGGCGGAAGAAACAAAGAAAAAGAAAAGATGAACAGTTTTGAGGATATCGAAAGATAAAGACGAAAGTAAGCAAGTTAAATCCGAAAAATTTTTAAAAGATCGGTCGTGCAATAGATCGGTCGCTCGAAAAAAAGGAAAATCAATGTTTCCTTTGCCCTTCGATATTCATGTAATTGGCAACGGTAGGTCGTATACGCGAGAAGCACAGAAAAGTTACAAGCTCAACGATGTTTCACTCACCTCGGACATAGTACTGCGATTACACGGTCATGATAATACGACGTAACCTCAATAACGGTTGCACTTACGAAAGAAATAAAACGACGTGACGAAAGTTTCGAGTAACTTCCGGAAAGAAAAAAAGATAGACGTGTATTACGCGCCGGAACACAGGACATATATATCACGTGTAAAATATGTACGCATAATCTGGACACGCGTTCATGGGACTGTTCGAATAAATAGTAAACGTGCAGTTTAAAGTAAAAAAAAAAAAAAAAAAAAAAAAAAAAAAAAAAAAACATCGATGTTGTTTTGGAACTTAATAACTTAATGTATTTTTACTCTCCTTTCTCCTCCTGCGTTCTTCCCTTCGTATAATAATATCGTACTTGCTAGACAATGTGAAATTTAATTTAATGACAACTGGATATAATGTAGTTAGATTCATGCGTGCTTTTTTTCCCTTTGTCTTCGTTTCTTCTTGAACCTCTGTTTTCTTTTTAGCGATATTTTAGATGGTAAATAGTGAGCAGATCTGGGAGTGACAGTGTTTTCGTGGTTATATCCTTCGCATCCCGTGTCTCGTACCAACGGCGGTATCCAAAAGACTAGCCTTTTTCACGGAATTTTTTGTATCTTTCCTTGTTTTTGTTTCTCGTTTATATAGTCTCCGTATGCGGTGTCGCTTTCTAATTACTCTAGTTAACGTTTCTCGACAACCGTCGTACGACGAGACAAAGTTTGCGAAACACAATACTCTTCCTGTCCTTTCCTCTGTTCATCCACAATTTGCTCCTTCCTATTCTTCCGTATAAACACGAGTCGGTACATTTTCTTTTTTTTCTTTCTGAGAAATTTCGTGTGCCAACGGTGTTGGATCGTCCTCGCGACTCGACCGTTTCCTTTCGTCGAGGATCGTGCGTGCGTATAGCGACGCCGCCATCGTCTACGAAAGTAGCTGTAGAAGGCTTCATCTCGTTCTGTTTCTTTCTTTCTTTCTCACACACACTCTCTCACTCTCCCCCCTCTCTCACTCTCTCCCTCTCAGGCTCACACTCGCTCACTCTTTCTTTCTCTCTTTCTCTCTCTCCCTCTTTCGTGCGCGCGCTCACTCTATCTGTTATACCGCGAACGCGACGCAACCTCGATTCGTCCCTCCATGAGAGGATACAGTCGAGAACGCGGGATTCTTCTGTTCGAGGATTTCGAACAGGGCGTAACAGCTGTGGCGGTGGCATCGGCAGCAGTGTGCGGTCGCACTGGGACAAAGAGGTCAGTTTTCGAGGAGGAGATTAAGGAAAAAGGACTCGGACGATGGTCTTGCGACTGTGAAAGGAAGGAAGAAAGGAAGGAAAGGAAATAGAAAGATGGACAGGTAGGTGGGTAGGTAAGTTGGTAGGTAGGTAGATAGGTGGGTAGGTTGGTAGATAGGTTGGCAGATAGATAGGTAGATAGGTAGGTAGACAAGAGAGAGAACGGAAGGAAGTATAGGGGGAATGAGTGGTAGGTTGGGAAGGAGGGAGGCAAAATGATGGAAGGGGGTAGAAGGAAAGACGGAAGGAAGAAGGAAACGAGGTATGCGAGGGACGAAAGGACAGGTGAATGGATAAATCGATCTCGGGTGGATGGATTGGTGAGCACTTCGAGGGACGGGGGGACGATAGAGAATAGGATGTTCTTATTAGGTTAGAAAGGACTTAAGCTTAGGAAGGTTAGTTGTCGCCACCCTCCTGTTGTTCGTCCTGCTCACCCTGCGTGTCACTGGTCCAAAGAGTGAGGTTGTCGCGCAGAAGTTGCATGATGAGCGTGGAATCTTTGTAGCTGTCTTCGTTTAGTGTGTCCAATTCCGCGATCGCGTCATCGAACGCCTGCAATAATGGAAATTAAAGCTGCGTTACCGTACGGATCGTTCACTTCGTCCACTTATAACAGTTACAACTATTCGAATCAAAATCAACTTTTGCTCGACGCGAATCAGTCTCGTGCAAAGCGCAGAAACAGAAGAACTGGCATTCCATAACGAAAGGCAGGCCACACGCGCATACGAGATGTTAATTGAAAACGCGAGCGATGCAAGGAATGGTTTTAAAATACAGTGGAGACAAGTTAACTGCAATTGCAATCACACTACTACAACAGACCGTTAATTTCTCGGTGGGTTAGTTAACACTCGAAAAGAACTCGTATTGTCTTTTATTTTTTGTTGTTTTACGGTAATCCGAGCCACAACCGCGCTACGACGATTAACGATCATCGCGTATTACGTGATACGGTATGACGGTTATGGTTCCCGCGATAGATTCACACGAACATAGTAGTAACAAAATCGAAACCCTCGCGAACCAAGCCCTAACCTGTTTGGCCAAGTGACAAGCCCTAGCCGGAGAATTAATAATTTCATAGTAAAAAACGGAGAAGTTCAGAGCAAGACCGAGCCTGATGGGATGCGTCGGCTGCATTTTTGCCTTTGCTATGTCAAACGCCTCTTGGTACGCCTTCTGCGAATCCTCGACAACCGCTGCAATACAAACGGATAATCCAGATTATACCTTCGACAAATTCTTATACAGATCATAACCGACGATCCTCCGTCGACGCGTCGGCGTTTGTATGAAACGAGACGATAATATTAAGAAACGCGGGCGACGAGTTTTCCATGCAATCTCTTACTTCTATATACATATTCATGTATATTTCTGTAAATCTGTACGAGAATACTGTTTGACCCTGCGCGCGAACCACGAACTATTCGTAATCGCGAAATTATACAAAGAAAAATAATGTTCAAATGGCCACCGCTGAACAAAGCAATATTATATTCTTTTTTTTATTTTTGCCTCCACTGCACACCATCACCATATCCTTTTGCATCCCTCTCGGCGTCAGTAATCGACGTCAACGTTGCATCTGTAAATTATACCTGTTTGGCCAGCTGACAGGCCTTGTCTGGTGAGTTGAGGATCTCGTAATAGAAAACGGAGAAGTTGAGGGCGAGACCTAGCCTGATCGGATGAGTAGGCTGCATCTTTGACTTGCTGATTTCGAACGCATCCTGGTATGCCTTCTGGCTGTCGTCTACCACGGCTGGATATATGTGTACATATTTTGTGTAAAATTATCAAGAGATTATGAAACGTTCGGGTCATCTGTACAATAGCTATATCAAGAAAAACGCAATAAACCGGTAAGAAAAAGAAAAATCGTACAGAAAATTAGCTGTTTAAATTCTCTTGTGACACTGTTATCGTTCGAAGCATAGGACGACGACTCTGTACGTATATTTGTGCGTGTGACAAGCGTCACAGAATTTTTCAAATCCATCCTAAATCTAACAATATGCTATCCCGCCAGCCACTGTGGGTCGAACATCTGCCGTTGCAGCTGTGCTTCTTCTTTCACGAGGTACACAGGTACGGCAAGTAAGCGTGCACCTTTCCCGTTTTAAGAAAGAAGCGGATCGACCTCGTACAAATACTTTGAAATACAGGTAAACGCACGTCTTTGAAAATAACAGGCTTTCCAAAGGACAAAAACACGCTAAAGTAATTGTAAAGATAAATAAGTAAACGAATAAATGAACATAAATAAATAACTAAAACGTAACAAGAAGAAAAATGAAGAAGAAAACGAGGATTAACAGATACTGGATATTGAAGTTATTATTTGATCAAATATTGAAAGACTCATACCGTTTCTGGTTTCTCCGGTGGCGACTTCTGCGAGATACCTGTAGTAGTCACCCTTCATCTTGAGGTAGAATACTTTACTCTCGGCATTGCTAGCCTTGGGGATCAGGTACTTATCGAGGAGTCCCTAAAACATTAAAATTACACTCTTACAACGATGATTAAAATATTATAACAATCCATTTTCTCAAATCTTTTGTAACTTTCATTACGATACGACATTAAAGAAATTCGTTAATTTATAAATTTAAAAAAAAAAAGATATGCGTTTATCGTTGGTAGTTCTAGTGTTAACACCGATCGCGGAACGAAACACGTTCAGATATCCTATCCAGTAGCAAAAGGTACTGAGCACCGCGCCGTGCAGCTTACTGGAACAGGCGTGTCGCTTCCTCTTCCGTTTCCCCGTCTATTTCCGGATATTTGTAACGTTCCTCGCGACACGCTACAATACATGGCAATACGTGTACAACAGATTCGTGCGAAACGAAACGGAACGGAACGGTCGTTGTTTGTTGCAACGAGTGAACACAACATGTTCGTTTCTTAAAACGTTTTGTCGCGTTCGTTGGACGACGAGAAAGGATCGTAAGATGAGCTGGCAAAGCAGTCGTAAAGTACCCGCGTGAAATTTAAGCCGGTGAGTGATCCTAGGCTTCTAGCTCTTGACATACGCGACAAAGAAGATCGGGCGTATAGTAAGACGATCCGAGCCAACACAAAGAATGGAGGATATTGTCTCAAAGGACACGGAAGCAGAGCAACTCATCGTGGTCATTATTCGTGGATCGATATACCGTCTTGGAAAAACACAGGGATCACACGATATGGTCCAGTACGCAAAGCAAGGAAGAAAATTCGGAAAATGGAGTATTATATCCTGAAGTTTCTGTGAACGGAAGAACGGAAGAGTCTACTACGCGTGGTTTCCCGGAACGTTTAGAACCCAGACAAGGTATAGGAGTAAACATTTCATGCAATTTTTTCGGCCTACTTTTCTGAGGCGACGTCGCATTTCCATTCTAGTGTCACTACCCACCAAAGATTCACCGTTCTTATAACATAGAGGTCGCTACAATCACAGGCTTTTTAAGGTGTCGGTACTACAGTTTAGATGCACCCCAACTCCCATAAGATGAAAGGTTTATTTCTATACCTCGTCGGTGGTTTGGAACGGCGTATCGAGAAACGAAAAAAGTGGACCAGCGGACGGGCAGAGACAGGAAACAAAGTTCTTACCAACACATCGTAACAGATCTCGCGCAGCTCCTTTTCAACCTTTTCCCGGTATTCCTTGGCCATCTGCTGTTTACGCTCGGAACCCTCGGTCTTTTGCTCGATGGAAGAGATTACTCGCCACGAGCTACGTCTCGCGCCAACGACATTCTTGTACGCTACCGACAGCAGATTCCTCTCTTCGTTCGACAACTCGACTCCCGTTTCGGTGACCGCCTTCATCGCGGCTGCCATATCGTCGTACCTTTCCGCTTGCTCGGCGAGCTTTGCACGCTGTACCAATTCCTCCTTGTCCACGGACATTGTGTTGGCTGGAAAAAGAAAAATCACAGACTCGTAATTCGATATAACGCCTAACCACCAGGCAAATGTGAACACCCTATAACCTGTGAAACGAATCGAATCGACAGTGAAACCGCCCCCCTCCCCCAAGCACAAACGGACAGCGTCAATCACTTTTTTTCTCGTTCGTGTCCGGCAGTTGTGCGAATCGTACGTGAGAATAGATTTCACCGACGCGTTTAGAACAGGATGACGTATTTCGACTCGTCGCTCGCGTCGAACGTAACTGGCCTCGTTCGCCGCGGCAACCGATAGACCGCCAGCGGAAAAAGAAAATTTATTCGAAGGCACGCGCGAACGAACCTTTTTCTACCACGCGTTAAAGGTCATCGACAACACGTTATTTCTTCCCTTTTTTCGTATCCCTATCATCGCGCGGGTCACTGGTAACCACGCGAAAGAAGTAACTAGTTCCACGACCTTGCTCGCAACCGCACAAATTCGAAAATGATACCGGGCCGCTCTTGGCTTCGAATTATTCTAACCTACAACGCTAGAAAACCGTCCACCACGAACAGTCCCTTCTTTCGGTTCGTTCAATCATCTGCTCGAGATTTGGGGAATAGTTTAGAAATCGGTAGGTATCTCCGATTTCCTTCGAACTTCAATACCAGGTTGAAAGGGGATCCCTAAAACGACAAAATATCAAATAATATAAGTACCTTTATTTTCAAGTTAAATTTGGAACCGAAACCTAACCTAAACGACACCATAAATGCAAATTAAGTGAAAGAACATAAACTGGAAACAGTAGAGAAGAGGTTTAATTGTTTATTTTCAAAGCATTATACTGATCAGAGTTGATTAGAGCTAGTTTAATAAAAAAAAACGGATACTATTAACCATCTATACTTGATAATTGAAGGTATTTATAATTGTTTGCGATATTTAAAAAAAATTATATATTGCCTTTTTAAGGAGCCCCTTTCAAAGTTTGAAGAAAATCGAACATAACAATCGACTTGTAAACTATTACCGAGATGCGTATTACTACCATCAAAACCGGAATCCGCGATTTCACTTTCATACACACGCACTCTCGTCCAAGGTGCGATGAACCAGAGAACATGTACGATTTTTGCGTTTACCGACTGAGGCGTCGACCCGATAAGACGTCTTGGTGTTTTACTGTCCAAACTCTACGTTCTTTATCGACAGTGTCGCCGGATTCACCGACAAGATATAAAAATAGACCTAACATGCAATGTAATTTTCTGTCCCATGCTTCGGGGGGGTCAGAAGCCCCCGTACCATTTCAGTATTCCATTCCTTGCTAACGAAACCAGGGTAATAATGTACGTATGCATTGCTTGGGAACTACTTAATCGTGTTACTTCGAATTCATTGCGAAGTATCCGCTTCGCGCAAAATTCATATTCGTCGTGGACAAGTGCGGTAAGTAACTTAGCCGATACACATGCATGGGAGTCGCCGATTGTCAAACATAACGATCACAGGCGTCGGTACGATGCATCGTGTAGCCAACGATGACTCACTCCATAGGACACGTCACGACTTATAATGCCAAAACGTAGGCAACGTCAAGACATCGCGACCAGTTAAGGCTTTATTTGCCGATCAAGCACCTCGGAGATTTGCTTTTATGGATAACCATACATTTTATTATGCTATAGTAAAAACTAAATATGGTTCAGGTGATCCAATTTATCGAATCCTGAAATCAGCCAATAGATTCACGGATCTGATTGACTTTTTCCAGGGGCTCTATTGAATACTTTAAGACAACCCTACAAAGAGCACTAAGGACTGTTCAATCTTAGTTAATATTTTATTAAAAATTCCATACTGTATAATACATTGATGTAACTGTTTCTAATCTTATTTTCATTAAATGTTATGTATGTATACTGAGTTTATACCCGTGAAATAACTAAATAAACAAATTATTTGACTCAAAAAAAAAAAAAAAAAAAAAAAAACTCATGTATATCGGGCACACGCGAGAGAATACATGCAAACAAAGGAGGTGGCCGGGACTATTCGATTCTATTATCTCCATTAATAGGATACCAATTCTCCGATCGTGGCACGGTCTGTCGCGGACGTGCTCAATCGTAAAGAATCCGTGCGATCAGCAATAGGTGGTTTTGAACGTTTTCCACGTCGCGATGTGATTTTCTTGCCGTGAATCACCCAAGTTCTCCGACACACGATTGGCTAGTGCTCGCGCGGCGGCCATCGACGGGAAATGCTCGGCTTGACTTGACTCTCGCTGAACCAAATAATTGCGCTCAAGGATGAAACGTAACTGCACCGGAAGCTCGACATGCTGTCACCTTACACACGGAACACACGTAACGTTTCATTCAACTTTGCGTCCGCGCATCTTACCGATGTAGAATCTCGAAGTACCACTGTGCAACATCTACGACGTTTCGAGGATTAAGAGTCTAGTGCGAATGGGAATACAACGAACCGAACTGACACGGCTGAATTTTCCTTATCCATTAAGCACTAATAAAATACCGGTCTTTATTTCGGTTTTCGGTATAGCTTTGATGGCATAACACCGATATCAAGATCATACCGATTTAAGTCCCTGATTAAGTATTCTCTGCATCCTTCTGTTGTTAGAACCGTAACAACAACCACAAACAATTTATAAAACCGACAGACCACGAATGAAATAATAAAAACAAGTTCAACATCTTCTGCCAAGCATCACGTTTTACGTATGCTTTGGGTTAAAAGGAAAATAGATCGATGTTTGTGAAAACACACTTATAACTACCTGCCTGTACATAACCGACTTTAATAGTTTGAACCCGATCGATATCCCCGTGCAGTATGTGTACTCTCTGTATTAACACTAACATTACCGACGATAAACGCACACTTGCTTAGATCGGTGGATAAACGTGAAAAATTTTTGAAAATTTAGAAATTGACTAATTTCTTCGCTTTCATATTGTAATACAAGGTGCAAAAAATCTGAGAAAATGTATTGTAACATTTTAATCGTCGTTGTAAGAGCGTATTGACAAGTTATTTTGACTTTTTTGGTAGTTCTAGTGTTAATTCTTTGAACATGACGCGTACGATGATACAATTTTTCGCGATTCCCTGTAACTCCATTGCAAGTACGGCGGAACGAGATACACCGCTACCAACGATGTTGCAACGGTTACGGAACAACGTTAGCTAAACGAAAGTGAACTGTTATCGACGCTATCGGAGCCGTTGGTAATCGCCACGTTCGCTCGTGTTTCTGGCATACAACGACGAACCAAGAATCTCGCTCGGCAGAATTGTAGAGCACGCCAGTGTGAAACGGTGTTTTTCTCGAGTATTAGGAACGAAAAAAAAAAAAAAAAAAAAAAAACGGCTGACGGAAGTCGCCCTTCATACAATATACGGCGATCCATCAGATAAACAGGCATGCCCAAGGGAAGTATTCCAAGAATATTTCTATCGATCGATTCTATGGTAATAGCATACAATTCAGTGGGTATCTCTGATTTTTTTCGAACTTTAATATCTTAAAAGGGGCCCTCTAAAAAGGCAAAATATCATGTTAAAAAATGTTACAAACAATTTTTAAGAGTATTTTTGGTTTTATTAAACTAGCTCTGACCAACTTTGATCAGTATAATGCTTTGAAAGTAAACAATTAAACCACTTTTTTTACCGTTTACAGCTTATGCTCTTTCATTTAATCTGCATTTACAGTGACATTTAGATTAGGCTCCGGTTAAAAGTTTAACTTGAAATTAAAGGTACTTATAATTGTTTGCGACATTTCTTAAAACATTTTCCCTTTTTAGAGAGCCCCTTTCGACATATTAAAGTTTGAAGAAAATCGGAGATACCGACCGAATTGTACACTATTACCATTCTATATCCTCCGACGTGCGAGTTTTCCAATAACCAAGAGGAATTGCAAAAAAAGAATGATCGTTTCTTTACGGAAAATGTAACAATCCTTGATATTATTCGTCGATAAGTGTTTGCCCGGCTGGAAAACATCTCATGCGCACTCGATAAAATTCCAAAAGATCGTGGCCTAGATGGGTCAAAGAATCTCGACTGGAATTATCAGGTAACGACATAGGCGCCGGCACCTCGCCGAGAACGATCGAATCCGTTTCACGCACGATATTTTGTCGGCAGATTGACGCCAGGGCGGCACAGCCATTGGTTGGATTCCGACTCTGATTTCGAGCGTGTCGCGACGATTGCACGCGATTACAAAGAAGGCGGACAGAATGACGATGAAACGGGAGATTCGTGTGTTCAGAGAAACCCCCGGGACAGAAATATTAAACCGGTAGGTGTATTCCGTCGTCCTATATTTAATCGCGCGATCACCTGGCTTTAAGTTCGCAGAGACTCAGAGAGACAGTGTTGCCGGATCCACGAGTAAGCGCGATGAGAAACACCGCGTTGCCAGTGTGAAATATTTCCGGCGCAGACTTTTCGAGCGAATCGCGAATGGAACGTGACGGGATAAGAATTCGAGCCAGCCGAATTTGTTTTCGACGTAAGGCACTCCCCTTGAGTAGACCGATTCTACCTTCTTTCCTTGCGTGACGCACAATTTCTCCCACATCCGCAAAATTTCAAAAATATCAACGGCTACTCAGGTTGGTCGGAACGGCTGAACCTGGTTAAATTTAAGCTTCCATTCCCAAGCGTAACAGAGAGACTCGTAACAGGACAGATATTCCGGAAACTTACAACACAGACACTGTATCGCGAATACCTATGATTCACGATGTCTTCCAAAGAATTTCGAGTTGGACCGCGTGCCAAGTTCACTAACAAACACCAACTGAATCCGCTAACTGCTACCATAGTCGGGATAAGAGTGTCTGACCGAGATGCCGTGGGTATTAAAAAAAATGTGCGAGCACCCTTATCGTCCCGATAACAACACCAATTTTATCGGACGATTTTTGTTTATCTGCATTCGTATCGCGTTACGCCTTTTTACGGTTGTTACGACATTCGATGAATCTTGAATCAACGAAAATAACTGAATTCCCCAAAAAGCCGTACGAGCTAAACGTGGCATTTGTTTGTTGCTGCGTTTAGGAAAGACAAGAAAAAATAGAGGTTTCCACGGGAAATAGCGAGCAAGCGATGCTCTCTGTCGTCAAGCTGGAGATCATGCGCGGATCGCCTCGACGGAAAATGTCTCACGTACGTTGATCGGTAACGGTGTTGAGGTTATGATCGTCATACTCGGAGTCACGATTAAAGAGGGAGCCAGACGGAGCGCCACGGCGCTACTTTCACGAAGCGAGAGCGAAATTCCTCGTCTACACACACACACACACTCTTCCCTTTTTCTCTCTCTCTCTCTCTCTTTCTCTTGGGCAACACGCCCCGTCTTCGAGGCAAACCTCTAGCGCGATTCGAAGCGCACAACGACAAGGGACGGGGCGAGGGGACAAAGAAACGAACTGAACGGACTGCTTTTGCTTCCGGCGAAACGAATCAGCGTTGTTGCAAAGAGACCGCGAACAATTCACTTCTACGTCGCAGCATACAATTGCCGCATAGATCGATAGCTACCCTGGACGCTCACTATTCGTATAAAACGTGACCGATCGGCAGTGTATTTCCAGTATGTTCCCGTAGAATCTCCGGTTTAGAACCAGAATGACTGAACGTTCTGAATGAAACCGACCATTCGAGTAACAGCATGCGTGAACGAACTGACTAAGAGGACGGGATGAGAAAAAAAATGGAAATGAGGCCAGACGACACGGGACATGAAGAAAACGATACGATTCCGAGTAAATGGTAAAGAAACACCTGGTCTAGTTACGAATCAAGATAGAAAAGCAATGCAACGACATAACGTCGCAAGTCTTACCTATAGTTAAAGTCTTTTGTACAATAAATACTTAAATATACGATCGACGTGTTCCGGTCGGGTTACGCGGCAACGGGATGGGGTCCGAAAACTGACTAGACTCGCGGTTTTTGCTAGTTTCTTTTTGTCCGGGGGGTAAAGTGCGAAAGGCGTAATACGCGGAGAAACTACGCCGGGTCTTTTTCCTCAATCACACTCGGTTACGATACCACACATCCCTCGGTGACCACTCCCGCACAGCGACTGAGCCGGCAACGCTGCCCGTGGTGGGGACTCGGCGTGCCTCGTGCAGAAGCTCGGCCGTGCTCGAGCAACTTCGTCCCATGTCGGTTATTCTCGGGCCGGCTCGTGGCCGAGCCGAGGTATTGATCGGCTCTCGCCCAGCATGGCCGCCTCGGTGAGGTTGGGTGGGGCAGCGGTACATGACTGTCCCGGGACCACTAGACATGGAACGCGATGCGATGCGCCACGCTGGATTTAAACTCGATACGCGTTACATTGCAATTATCGCATTCGTTGGACGCAATCCGTCTACGTTTCCTTCTCATCATTATCGTTTCATTGCTATTTAATTTCTTTCCAGTATATTCCTACCGAATTTTGGTAATTCCTCGTACAAAACAGTACGGTTGTCTTTTTAAGGCACTTACCGATTTGGGAGTTCGTGTGACATTAAAAGTTGTTATTAAGAACGAATGTTTCATTATTCACTTTTTGAGGACTCAGGGAAATTCGAACCGAATCCGAGAGACTAAGAAGTCATCCCGGTTTTACTTTTATCGAGCATAATATATGGAGGGCTCGGAAGCCAATCAGTATAAGTCACAATGTAAGTTATCAGAGATAATGGTTTAGAAAGTAGACTTTAAAAAGTACAAAACATAAAAAATGATTCATATGTATAGGCTACAAACAGATGAAACTGATTGCGTATATAATAAAAAATAAAAGTGTATTTACACGGCGTAAGTGATTTTTATTGGAAGAGTGACTTACACTGATTAACTTCTGAACCCTCCGTATAATATTATAGTAGTAAGATAGATATCTCTAAAATACACCAAAGATCATTAAAATTGTTCGAAGAAGCGGGAGAATAATCCTTTAAAGGTATGCTTCGTCACGAAACCCATTGTCTAACGTTTTCGGAAATCATCCACCATTCGAATCTCCGAAAAAAAGATTTCAGACTACAACTCTGCGCATCAGATTGGTTGCACATTATCGAGCAACGGCGTTGTTGGTATATCAACTGTATTAGGTATCGATGGAGGGCGTAGGAACAATGGGCATCGATCGAACGCTCGAAATCAATTTCAGAACGTGACGCGTGGAAGCACGTGTCTCGACACGCGATATCCGGGGGCTCCCGTCGACAATTCCGAACGGTCCAATAAATAAAATAACAGTGAACGTCCTCGCATCCCACGTTCGACATTTATTCGGTTCTCTGGTAAATGGGCGGTACCAAACGAAAGTATCCATCTTTCTGAGATTCGACGAAATCACGATCAATCTTAAAAGTAAAACCAACGAATAGTAACTCAGTAAGCGAGAAACGGTCGGGCTTCTGTCGCTGCCATTTCAATCAAAATGAACGGGTTTAAGACAGAAGGTCTAAGATCTAATGGGCCCTAATAATGTTCAGGGAGGAAAACGAAAGAATAGAGATACAAGATAAATAGGAAAAGGAGCAATTACACAGGGTATAGCAGTAAAATCGGAAAATACGATCGTAGAAGTAGGGATTGGCTGGCGAGGTTGAAATGAAATATTGATCTGCGGAGGCGCGCGCAACCCCTGCAGCCGACCCGCCCTTCCTTCTTCCTTGGCCACCATTTTCCGCCGCGTATTTCCTCTTCTTTCCTTACTCTGTCCTTCTCGTTTTTTTGCTATTCCATTTTCACGGTAAACCCTTGCCAAACATGTCATTCTCTTGAAAGAATCGCCTCTACGCATCCAGTCGGTCTCCATACGGGCTGTTATATGTAATATGTAGGATCATTCTCAAGTAATACGTCTTCTTCTTGGTAATAATCAGTTTGATCGACTCACCATTTCTTCGAGATATTCATCGAAAAGGCATAAGAGAATACGGGACGCAGTTTGAGCGAAACTGATTCTCGTACACTTATAGGAACGCACGTCATTCGGGTTGTTCGATCATCGAAGGGACATACATACATATTGAATTCGATGTGCTTTCAGAAGGCGTTCAATAAAATGAAACGATAACGTATCAATATAAAAGTGAAAAGAAAAAGCACCAGATGTCGTGGTTCGAGGGTAGGAGTCGCCGAAATCGCTTCGTTCGTAAATGTTATTTTTTCATGTCTGCACGAAAAAAATTCTGCTCCGATTTTAGCCTAACGTATTAATCGTTTCGTGATTAATTCCATCGTATCGATTAATAACAATTACACGGAGGTTATGCGAGGGGAACACTTTATGGGGGTGTCCCAGATGTATACAGTGAGTGTGCACGCACGGACTTCTCTGTCCGCGGGCACCTTGGGTTGCAACGTTCGTTGAAGTACATAATATGGAGTAAACGGAGCGCAGAGTCGCGTCACGTGTAATGGGAATCAATAACAGTAATAATGTAATCAGTACAGTAGTATGTGATCGTTTTTAGCAGTTTGCTCGTGAGAGGAGGCAAATCGTCGCTTGAAAGGATATGCTTTGGAGCAAGATTAGGTTGTTGGTTCCGTTTTTGAAGCGATTTATGTGAAATCCGTCGTTCAGAGAAGGGGGAGCGATGCAATAGGAATAAATACAACGAAGGGTGGTCACTGTCGGCTGTCCGGTAACCTTTAACGGCTCCCGCTCGGGGAACGAGCGCACGTACGCTAGGTTAGTAACGCGTAGATCAATATTGCCTCGCGGTTCGCGCGACAGCCCCATCAGAGAGGCATTCGACGGAACTTATTCGTAAACAGGTTGCAGGCTACAGAAGACAAGCGGTAGGCACCTACTCCGAACAATTGGGTATACGTTGTGTCCGTGGTTCTCGGATTCACACCGATAAAGCGACACGTGCTTCGAACAGAATATACCTGTCGGGTCGCTACCCGGTTAACAATACGAAACTAGAACGTTGACTTTGTCGCCGTCACCGAAATTTCGCTCACTCGTTGACTTCTTAAGGTGGTTCGTGTCAAATTCGGAAGACTAGATAATTAACTAAAATTCATACAGGTTGTTTATTAGCACGAAATAGAAACGCTCGAGAAATTTCAGACTAGGTCGCTGATGAAATAAATAAGAAAAAAGCTTGCGAAAATGCAGTTTTTAACACAGCTCTTATGGCAGTTTTACTATTTTCTTAGCGGAAGTATAATTTTTTCTTCTGACAAAAATTGGAACTTCTAACCAAAAACTAAGCACATTGAAAATATAAATTCTGAGGTTTCTGATAATTAACTAAATCTTGTACCATGCTGAACGTTCCGGGAAGATATTTTGGCATAAAAAATATAACATTCCATTTAAAAAAAAAACGAAGTTGACCTTCTAATCTCCGAAACGCCTCCACTAACAAAAAGAATGCATGCACTACATAATCTATCCCTCCAAACCATACAACTTCTCTATAAAAAGCTTTTTCATAGAACGCATACTTTAGAAGCATACTTCAGGGTGAATAAATCACGTGGACCACCCTGTATACGTCGTTGCCCGCGATGTACAAATTGCAATTCCGATTCGACTTTTCGATCGCATACGATCGGCCCAAATATGTCCCCGAATGCGGTCTGAATGAAAAAAAACCCAAAAAAAAACACGGAAACGCGGACAGCAGGCTATCGAGCGCCGAGGAAGCGTAACTATTACGACACTGACCTTGCGCTCGTTCGCCGCGCCGGCTCGCAACTGTTCGCGCGCGTTTCCCAAGCTCTTCTCGTTCTAAAAACCTCTTCCCCGTCGGTGCGTCGCTTGGCCGGAACACATTCAAGGGTATTTCAGTATTGATTTTCAATAGGAAACATGTACTATTTTTATTTCCGTGTTCGAGAAGATTCGCCGAACTTCGCGGAAAGCACCGACGACACCGCGGGGAGGACGTAGTTTTCGGACCGGTTCCAAGTGATGTCGGAAAATCGCTCCATTTCGGAAAGTAGTAGGACAGACGAGGCATAGGAGTAGACATTTCATCCGATGTAATTTTTAGCGGCCCATATTTCTGGGGCGACGTCACCCCATTTCCATTTTAGTGTCACTACCCACCGCAGATTCACCGTTCCCATGACGTAGAGGTCGCTACAATCACCGGCTTTTTAAGATGTCGGTATTACAGTTTAGGTGGGCCACCAACTCCCATAAGATGAAACATGTCTGCTCCTTCCTATACCTCGCCAGCGGTAGTAGCCAAAGTAAACGAGCATTGAATGCGATTCAGCTGCACGGGACCAGTTTTTGTGCCGAAAATGGGCGAGAACGAATCGTGCGTTATAAGTATCCTTTTTTTTAATGATTCTATTAGAGTTATCTGTCCCCGTATACCCAGCAACGTACGAGTGTCAATCGAATTTTTTCCCGCACACACAACACAAACATTGGCCGCAATACACGATGAATTGACGTTTTTACGAGATCGATAATTGGTTCAAGTGGATAGAGAACTATGTAGTTTCTGTAAAACTGGGACGATCCGACGCGTAAATGCAAAACGCGCGCCACAGGTGGCAGTATAGAGGTGACGTTACGTGTGTAGCTGTTACACGAATATTATGTGCTGCGCAATTCCCGTGTACCGGCGATAGCAGTTTCAATTTCGTTCGATAAGTTTTCCTAGTTCAAGATATCCGCTGCACCCCGATTGTTTTTTCGCGATCACCACGTATCGCGAATCGAGAAGACGAGAGAAAGCAATCGATCGGAAGCAGTCGTCTGTCGTCGTCGATTAGGTCGAGCACCATGTCTCTTGGTGCGTCACGGAGGTATACAGGCTGTCCCAAAAAGATGGGACAATCCGCAACATAGATCATTCTCGTGCAAATACAAAACGAAAAGTCATTTACCGTTTTGTAATCAGAAGCTTCATTTTTCCATTTCAAGTCACTGGTCTCTGCTTTTTGACTCTGTCCATGCGCGTACGTGTGGCCCACTGATCAGCTGATCGTTAACTGCCAATATCTCGGAAATAGACCTTCAGTTTACGAAACGATAACGAACTCTTCGATTTGTATTGACACCAGGAATATCCATGCTGCCGGTTTGTCCCATCCTTTTGAGACACCCTGTATGAATGCGCGCG